CTCTCTTACGTTGTAAATAAATTGATGTGGTGTTCGTACATGTACTATACAGACATCTGTATATTTATTTAAATGAATTTTAATTGCCAGTGCTAATTGAAAATTATAAATGCAAATTATACTATGCTAGAAATAGCAGTGATCTTCCACTCAAAAAATAATACTACGCCTAACAGGAACGAGAAGAGTTAACCTACTATGCTTATGTTTATTTTTTCGATGACATTTAGAAGAAATTCCAGCGAGTGCAGTAGGGCATATAATTAAAGACAAGTGAACCGGATTGCCTCGTAAATATATTGACTGTTATATTTAATTGAAATTTACCAGTTTTCCTCGTTCACCTTTTATTTAGTAACACAAAACCGCTAACAAGAAAATTCACAAATGGAGGTGATAATGAAAGCGGCTTTCATGTTGCGAAAACAAGGTCAAGAAATAAAAATCAGCTAGACAGCAAAACTTGGAGAATGTAAACACAAAAAGGACAAAAGAAATGAAAAATAAAAGCAAGACAAATATATGTAAATACATAAAAAACAAAACCATAAAGTTTAATGCGAGAGCACGAAAATTATATATAAAAAACAAAAACAATAAAATATATTAACTTCGGTTGTAGAAGCTATAATACTCGTCACAGCGTCAATGACTCGTGAGCTGCTTCTTGGAGAGAAAAGAACGTGTGCAAATTTTTAGATCTATATCTCAAAAACTGAGGTACTACATCTACATATTCGCATATATACAGACGGTTAGACAGGCTAAATCGACTCAGCTTGTCACACTGATCATTTATGGATATACATATATACTTACACACAATACTTATGTACATCTAATTAAAACAAAAAAAATCCCAGTGCAAAATGAGAACAATATCTAAAAATAAGTCAGTTTAACTTCAACGCTAGAAAATGATCGCCTCACCGAAGATTTGGAGGCCCGTTCACGCTGTTGCGAACTAGCAATGACGACAGCAGTATAATACGGATAAACAATTGGTAATAGAAAATAGTTAAACACTACGCCAATTGCGAATGAAAACATCAAAAACCGGCGAACAGCGTCGTCTACCTGGCAGAACCGCCCCCCGCCGCCCGATTGCTTAAAATACGGCAAGTATCTATATTTTGCCTACTTACTAGCAATGAAACGAAAGAAAACCCAGACTATGCGCGCTATAAACAACAAAACAAATTGTGTCGAATGCGCTAGGCAGACGCACAAACCAACAATTCGACATAAACGCAGACATACATACCTACATATGTATGTTCAGCCATCGATGGCAATGGCAGGAAAACCACGCTATTATACACGCTGAAAATCGTATGAGATTGAGGAGAAATGTTGCTCAACAGTGCAGCGCTGCACGAATTCCCCTGCACAGTTGCAATTGCTGATGCTTCGGGGCTACTTCGCCGCAGCACACACCCCTTTGAAGATACAATGACGAAAACGAATACAAGCAGCAAAAAGCATTGGAAAATATGGTAAGAGCCGAGCAGCGGGAAATACAAAAGGAGAAGAGAGCCAAAACAAATTGTGGTAGATATATACATATATATGCCGAGATGTGGTACATGCGCGCAAATTATGGTACAATGCAGCATGCAACAGCGTATAAATATATATAAAATTTATATATGTATATATATACATATGTACATAGGCATATATCGGCGGTTTTTATATTATATGTAGGAATGGAAAGGAAAGCCAACTCACGACCGGCATGCCAAAATAGATTTCTCTATAAAAAGCGAATGCATTACAAATGCATTTGATTTACAAACAACAGTGGCGCAGAAAAGTATGCAACATGCACTAATGTAATCGGAATACGATACAATTTCTATTTAATAAAATTTTATTGAAAAAATATAGCCTTACACAAATTTTTAGCGATTCGAATAAATAGGTATTTATATATTACAATCGGAGATGCGAAATTTTTAATTAAAAAAAATTTAAATTTGAGTTTTTATATTCGATTTCAGGAAAATATGCAAATTTATTTGAAATTGCGAAATTGGTATTAAAAATTTTATTTTAATTTAAAAATTTAATTATAAATTGCAAACCAATATCAAAAATTTATAAAATAAATCGTTTGAATGTGTAAGTTTGCCGACCACTGCTGTAGTGGTTAGAACCGAAAATACGCAAGCTCTAAAAAAATGTAAATTCATAACATTTTTTTTTATATAGAAACTTGTGATTAACATATTTTTTTTTGGAAATTTTTCAAGCCGTTATTTGAGATTGAAATTTTTTTTATTTTTTTAGGCCCGTATTGGGAATTAAATTTTTTATTAATTTTCTTTCCGCTATTTGCTCTAGTGATAGAACTGAAAATACACAAGCTCAAAAACACAAAAAGAAAATAAATTCAAAAACTTATTGTTTTACTTAGAAACTTGTGATTAACATCTTTTTTTTTGGAACTTTTCAATCCGGTATTAAAAATTCAAATTTTTATTAATTTTCAATCCGGTATTTGAAATTAGAAATGTTAAATTTATTTTTAATTAAGATTTTCGGGATTGCCAAATAAAAAATGTAAAAAAATTTTAATAATAAAAAACTTTTTTATTTAATACAGTAGTTGCAACCCTGGCAGTAGCTAACACAACTTTATAGTGAATTGAATACATATTTATATTTATATTACACGAAGCTTTAAAAATATTCGCGTAAACACTCGCAATGTGATTCACTTTTATACAATACTGTACATAAATATTTACAAGAACAACATTTATGTAAGTACATAAAAATTTATACAGTTGTTAGAGAATAGAAACGGGCTTTATTGGCTTGAAGGTCGATTTCGACTTCAAATGTACATATGTACGAGAAAATGATAAAGTAAAAGTCCTTATGCGCATTTATTTCTGTAATACACAGTAAAAATATCAAGCACGAAGTGAAAATTAAATATCAACATACTTTTTAGTACAAGCTTATAAATTGATAAACAAATTTATTAAGCCTAATAAAATGCCAATACAGTCAATATGTGTATACTACATATATGTATAAGTTTATACTACATAACTGTTAAATGAATGTACCTAAAGTAAAACGTCACAAAAGATGGAATTTAAGGCAATAATTGACATAAATAATCAATGATCATTAAAATGCAATCATTTGCAATAAAATCATTAGGATGCAATAAAACCTCCTTTTGTGAGGAATAAAAATCAAAATAAGAACAACAATAACTTCGGTTGCAATGAAGCTATAATACCCTTAACAGGTGCATTTCTGACAGCTTAGAGAGTATAAAAAGATTTTCATCGTTACTTTATATGTCTAATTTCGGCAATAAATGGAAACAAAATAGATTATTAAATTTGCATTGTTTTTGTTTAGTATTTTTCGTCACTCTGATGAAATGGACTGAAAACTTTATAATAAGTAGAAGGCGGTTGCGCTACATGAATGTGTATTATGTATGTACATATAAAATTCTAAATTAACAGTTTTAATATTAAAAATTTAATATATCCCCAAATGAAATAGAGAAAAATTTGCTACAATGAGAAATTTCAATGCTAACCGAACTGTAATCAATTTTGATTATTGAAAGCTGCTACAAAATTATCGACTATAAAAAAGTTGTTGCTTTAAGCAAATGTAAATTTTTAATACCCACTGTGATCTTACAACAAAGCAAAACTTACGAAAAAATACTAAACGTATAAGTACAGAGAAAGTTGAGCAAGTAATTTGACTGTAGAAACATGTTTGGATTTAAAGCAGAGCAAACAAATTAAAGCAACTTTAACCGCACAGCTGTGCAAAGATGGATATATGGTAAATACATTTGTAGGTATATCTTTCATGCATTTATTAAATAAAATGCATATTTTTATAAGTAAATAAAACCGCAATTCGATGAACTTTGAAATTACCGGTTGCATATGCACACAAAATGAAAGTCGAATTCTCGTACAGCGCGTCAATTAAAATGTAAACAAACACATATCTCTTGTCAGCAATTGATGTGTTATCGATAAATGTAAATAACCTGAGGCCAACAAGCTTTATATGTATATAAATCGATCAAGGTTATTTCAACGTTCGAGAAATAAATTTTATGTTTCTGGATACTTTTGCGAATTATAAACTTTTGATTGCACAAAATATGGAAACATTTAAAAAAAAAATTATGATAAACAAAGCAATAAGTCATACAACAAAGATACGATCGTCCAAAACAATGTTTGTATATGTATGCATGTTCTCTTAAAAAAATGGAATTTCGTTTGTGTACAATACATACACATATGTATGCATGTATATAGATACATTTTTAAACGCTTTTTAAAGCTTTCGCGTCCGCACAAAATTCAAACACAATGTATGTATATAAATATATGTATGTACATACGTGTAATGTTTAGTATTTGCTGGACGTGAGGATAATTGACTTGGTATATGTATATTTATATATAAGAATATATACACACATACTCATATTGCAAACATAACTAAATAGGCTGCTTGTCGGGAATCTCATACATTCTTATATATGTTGGTATGTCGCAAACAAACAAAAATTTATATCTATGCATAAACAAAATAATAATGAGTATAAGAACCAAAAAGCATATGAAGGCCAAGTGGACTCACCAAAAAGGCGGCGAAAAAACATAAAATAAGGGAAAAAAGGGGAAATAAATATGGTAAGTTGCTCTCATGCGTATTTCTGTTTATTTACTGGCATATTAGGGTGTGAATTTTTTACATTGATTGACTGAAATGCAAATTATTCAATTGAAACGCATAATAAAATATACAACCCGCTTGAGATGACGAAACTACAGTTAAATTCCACTACAAAGCAGTAAAAACACAATTTGCTATAAACAATGCAATATTTGAACTAGTAATTGATTTTACTACTATTTACAAAGTAACTTCATAATAACAGTTGGAAAATATACATATAAATATTACAAACGTTAATTTATTTGCAAATGTACCTGTGCTAACTGGCATTAACTGCTGTAGATGCGTTGTTTTGTTAGTGTGACGTAGCACAGCAGCGTAAATACGTTTGTATGTATATATATAGTTGTGTTGTTGCCGTCACGCATACGTTGTATTTGTATAAATTTTATAATCAATGTTGTTTTTGCGGCGAAAAAGCAATTCGTGTTGGTTTTCAGTTATTGGATGATAGAACGTTGCGGCAACAAAAAATAATTAAAGCAAAGGGGAAATTTTTAATATAGACAACAATGCATTTAACCTGAACTAAGAAACAACAACTCATTTTGAAGAATAAAATATTTATTTAAATTGCAATTATTAAAATTGTGGTAAAAACTATTACGTTGCGTTGTAAAGTAGCACACATCATATACATATATATTTTTTATTCGCACAGTCGGCGTACACACACGCCCAAACAATATAAAAGAAAAACTGCATCATTATGTAAAATAACACATATTTCATGCACATAACTTTGAATATGCACTGCAACATAAAATATTTCATTACTTTACTGCACTTTTTTACACACGCCCGTACACAACTTCGTTTCACTGCAATGACATTAAAGCCCACTGCCTTTTCTATACCACACATTTTATTTTAATTCTTAAAATTTAAAACTGAAAAGCGGCCGCGTAGACCACATTTCATTAAATATTAATAGAAAACTAATAAAGACTCGCATTCGTCAGTTTCCATCACCACGTTTCCATTTTGAGTCTAATTATTTCTATAAGGCCTGCTCACTGCAATGCCATTAGGCCTTTTATTATTACTTACTCAACAATCACACACGTTCTAATTTTTTGCGTTGGTGTTCACTTGATCTAATAGCTAAATAAAATATTTACTTTATTATATTCACAAAAATAAATAATAGAATGTTTAGTGCACGCCCGTTTTTCTTTTTACTTTAATTCTTTAAAATATTATTTGCAACAATGTAAACAGTGAACACTCTCGACCACGTTAGTTTTACTTCTGAATCAGTTTATTTGCTGTTTTCGTATGAAATGTCGTAGATAAAGTCGCCGTCTTCGCTATTATCGCCGCACTTTCCCCTTCAAGCGTTGGTTGAGTTTACAATCTCTCTCGCTTCATGAGAAACAACAGCAACAACAATACCGTGTTGTTTTTGTTATAATTCACTGCTGCTGCTGCTGCATGCTCACTTTCTCCTTTGATTATGTTGCCTTTGCAGTTCTTGTTTTTGTTTGCATACATTTATTGCCGGTGCTCTCTCGCGGGCACGTCATCATTGCGAAGCAGCGCCGCAAACAAAAAAAAACAAACCAGCGCACAAACACACACACACATGCACACAAGCAAATAAATTAAGGCAATTGTTGATGAAGCCCACCTATTTCAATAATGGCGCGTAACTGAAAGTTGATTAAGCATAAAATATTATCTGTGGAATAATTTTTTAACAAATTTAAACACTTTTTATTGTGTAAATCACTAAGAAATTGCACGAGCGTAATGTTGCACAGCTGAATTGAGCAGTTTTTAAAATATTAAACGACTCATATTTGTTGTATGCTGCCACACGTTAGCGAACTGCGGTTTCAGGTAGCTAATAACTGCGTGAAGTCGTGGAAAATATGCTGATGTTTTATATATAGACTTTGTTTCACAATTTGTAGCAAAAAAGATTGCAAAAATATATATTTAATAAATTTAATTTATAACATTTCTTGCACCCTGAAGCAACTACAGCGCATTTTTTGAGGCTGCAAAATTTTTTCAATTCAGCTGGTAACGCTTGTTGACATTGTACTCAATTGTGTATGAGCGCTATCAATACAAAATATTTCACGTGGTGTGTGTGCAACAACAATACCAACAAATAAACTTTTTAAAATTTTTTATATAGGTGTACTGTCATTTTGGAAAGTGGCGTGATTCTGGCGTAAACAGAGCGCATGCTCGTTGATGGCGTGAGCGAGATAGCAGATAATAGTTGAAATAAAAGAAGTATCTTAACTGTTGCCAGATGTTATTAAAAAAAAGCCATGTTGTCAGATGATGCACAGAGCGATTAGCAATAACAAAATTAGACATTTTGTTATTTTTGCCGCATCTGGCAAATTTAGTAGCAGAAATGCAGGCGTTATTTTTAAAAATGCCATTGTTGCGCATATCTGACTGTACAACTATTTACCGAAAAATTTGTTGGTTGTATAGCAACTATATTTATACCTTGAACAGAGTTTATTATGTTGGCCACAAAGTTGCCAAAACTCTGAAGTAAACGTCTTTTATGGAATATTTTTTTATTTCACAAGATTTCGTCACGAAATTTGGTATGCATTATTTTACAATATCACGCTAAAATCTCCGAACATTATATTCAGATCGGACCACTATAGCATATAACTGTCATACAAACTTACCCATCAAAATTTATTTCTTGTTTAGAAAAAAACTCTCACCAAATTTGGCAGTCATGTTCTAATTTAAGGTAGTGCCACAATCTACGAATAAATTGCTCAGATCGGAACACTTTAGCATTTAGCAGTCTTATAAACTGAAAATTAAGTTCTTGTATGTGGATTTTTTTTATTTGTAGGGATATCTTCACGAAATTTGGCACAGAACATGGTTCAAGGCAACGCCACAATACCCGAATATATGGTTCACAACGGACTAAATTACGCAAATTAGCGAAAATCCAACAACTTTAGCAGGTTACAAGTGCAGTTGCAAGCAACAACACATACGTATTAGCATATGCGGTGAAGATAAAAAAACAGTTTTTTTTTTTTTATTAAATTTGATTACACATAAAATAATATTTTAAATGTATGTATTTATTATAATATGGAGTAGCTGTGTTTCTAATTTTTCCAATTTAATAAATCTTATAAGATATTTTCACACTTCATGACTTACATAACTGTGACAAGAAAAGAAAGATAGTAATTTCAATAAATTACTATATATACACACATATTTATTGGTAAATAAAATGTTACGTCATACATTGCAGTAAAGTATAGTTTTAGGCGATGATTAATGAACATGGTGCTTGGTGCTTGGTGTATTGATCCATATTGGGAAAAATTTAGCGGCTATTACTTAAACGTTGCATGCATTTGCATGTGAAATAGTGTTTACATACACGTATATAGTACATATTTGTTTGCATATATTTTATAAAGGCAAATTAAATGATGAGTAATGAGAAAAAATGTTTAACACCCTTTTGTTTATCGCAACATTTATGCGATTTATTGAGAGAAACTTAAAAAGAACTCAAGTCATTATTGAAAAACTTAATCTAGTAAAACAATTTTACGCTACTCCCCGTACAACATTCCAACATTCCAACGGGCAAGTAGTTGTCAGATTGTATTGATCTTATAAATAGTTGTTGTGTTTCCATTACTTTGCTATATTACTATTTTTATATAATATTTTTTATATTTTTATTATAAAAAATAATATATATATACCATATATAAATTATATTTAATTACCACCAACAAAATCATCATCGACCTTCTCACGTTTTATTTCAGTATTTTCATGCCCGTCCGGCAGTATACACTCATCTAGCGGCGCATTATTGCCATCGGTGTTCTGTGTTATCACAACGACTTTGGCCGCTGCGGTGGCGCGTGTCATACGCTTCGGTGCGTTTGTAATGGTGACAGCCGAACGCGTTGTAATCGTTTCGGAAATGCTCTTTTCAACCGAATTGCCTGCTGTCAGATGTGGATTACGTGTCAATGTTGGCAAACGTCGTGTTGGTAGGGTTACTGTTGCCGTTGTGGACGACGCTGGGACAGAATTGAGTTTTTGTGGAATCTGTATATTTTGTAAATAGAAAATTATTCAATAAATGTTTAGTTTGAGGTTGATTATAATACATGCTAATACTCTTGTGTAAATAAACTATAATTTTAATTTTTTTTAAGTTTTAAATTTTGTATTTGCACGACTTTTAAGTCGTTTTGAATGTACGATTTGATATTGGCTTTAGAAAGAAACATTTAACCTTTAGAAACTTTAGATAAAGCAAAAATAAAATAAGGTTTAAAATGCCAAAATTGGATCAAAAGTTAAAAAAAACGTATATAGAAAGTCCTTCCTACTTATGCTCCATCATGATTGGGTTTATAAAATATACACAAAAATATTAATAAACAAAATAATTAAAAAATAATAAAAAACACAAATAATAAAAAAAAATAATAATTAAAATAATAATAATAAAAAAATATACAAATAAATTTTAAAAATATTTAAAAAAAATTTATTAAAAATATTTTTAAAAAAAGTCATTAAAAATATACAAAAAAAATTTATTAAAAATATTTTTAAAAAAAGTCATTAAAAATATACAAAATAAATTATTAAAAATTTCCAAAAAAAAATATTAAAAGAAAAATTAATAAAAATTATTAAAAATATTTAAAAAAAAGAACTATTTAAAAAACATTATTAAAAAATGATAAAAAATGTTTAAAAAATATTATTAAAAAATGTATTAAAAAACATGTAAAAAGACATTATATTAAAAAATAGTAAAAAATTAAAAAAATAATTATTAAATAATTTAAAAAAAATTAAAAAAAAAATATTAAAAATAAATAATAAAAAAAGAATAAAATATTAAAAAAAGGAAAAATAAATAAGAAAAAAAGAAGAATAACATATTAAAAAAAGAAAAAAAATCATTAAAAAAAAGAAAAAAAAATTATTAATTAAAAAAAAGTTATTAAAAATATGTAAAAACAAAAAATATTTTTTAATAAAAATAAAAACAAAATTACAAAAAAATTATTTTTAATAAAAATAAAAACAAAAATAAAAGTAAATAATAAATAAAAACAAAATTTAAAAAATTAGAAAAAAACTTTTTCTCAAAATTTAGGTGTGTATGTTTATATACTAGCACCGCAAACTTACCCAATTTCAACAAATTATAAGCGAGGTAACAATTTTTTTTTTATTTTACTTGCTCACCTGACGTATGGTCAACTCTCGCCCCATGCGTGGCGTACTTCTCAGCGATGTGGTTTTACCATCGTTCAACGGTGTGTTAGCGTTGCTTGCAGTTGTTGCAATCGGTGTAGACGTCTGCATTGGGGGTTTGGTGTAAAAAATTCTTGGCGAGGCTTGTGCACCCTTAAGTGTGGGTAAAGTAACGCTCGATGTAGTCGTTACATTTGCAAACGAAGTGTTCATACTACCAGTTAGCGACGACGACATTATGCTGGAACGTGTCGATATTGATGATTTATTCATCGGCATCGGTGATGCTGCTAGCTGATAACCCAATAAGCTATTGTCCTTATCCAAGACGGCAACTTGATTTGTTTTAGAACTTTGCGAATTTGGATTCACTGACTGTTGCTGTATGGTTGTGGTGCGTACCACAGTGTTGGTGGTTTGTGTTGTTATTGCTTTCGATACTGATTGTATAGCTGGCGTTGTTGTCTTAGCTGCTGTAGCTACATTACCTGCACTGGTAGTGGGCGCAACACCAATTTGTGCAGCATACTCGTCAATCAAACGCACAGCACAGTCAACATCTTTCGGTGTCAGCGTTGTGGAATTAATGATGCCATCAATAATTGTTTGTCGTTCGGAAAACGAAAGCATTGCAATTCGATAATAGTACTTTTTGAGACGTGCATCGAACTGACGTACGCTGGTGCGCAACAAAGAACGCTGATAATCAGATACAACGGGTAATTGAGGTGTGACGCTTGTTGGTGTAGTGCCAAGTGACGACATTGTGGGTGTAGAAGTTGCTGGCATCAATTTCGGTATAATGCTCGTGGTTGAGGGCAAATGTTTTTGCAATGCCGTAATGGTTGGTGTTAATGCAGTTGTTGTTGTTGTGGGCTTGCTAACGGTCAGATTTGCTGGCACCGTTGTTACATTTGCTATAGATGTATTTGGTGCAGCAATTGCAGTAGACGCAGGCGCAGACGTTTGATTTGTCGGCGTGTTCGTATTCGAAGCATCAGCTGTAATTTTTTCCACCTTTTGCCGAATGGAAGCCGGTATAACATTCTTGTTGGCTTCCAAATCGGCGCGTGTTATAAGTTTCGTTGACATTACTATGTAAGCGGGCAGTTCGCGTACGCCGGCCTGCACTTGCGCGTGTATGCGTGTCGGATCGATGGCCGGCATTGGACCGTCCAGATTTGGACAACAGTAGTCGAGTAATACGCAACCGTGATTACGATTGTACTTAGCTGGATGCAGAAAGGAATATAGACGCGTGCCATTTGTGTCCAACTGTGTAGGCGTTAGGCCATAATAACCGGTTGCATCATTTGCAGGCGTTTGATTGAGTGCCGAATTGGTGGCGGCTGCTATAGCCAGTGTGCGCGATGCTAAAGAATTAGTGGTGGCCGTGTTGTCTGCGCTTGTGCCCAACGTAATGCCAGCAGCTGTTTGTTGTGCGGGCGTTGCGTGCTCATCAACCAACTCCTCTTTAGGCACTACAGGTGTAAATGATAATTGTGTATCGTTAGCTATGCTGCTGGCAGCGGTGATTGTTGAGCTGCTGCTGCTGTTGGCTTGTTTGCCAGTCGATTGCGATCGCTGTGTAATGCTAGCGTCAGAACTGCTTGTCGTGCTTGCGCGTTTTTCACGCATACCTTCCGCGCCTGTCGATGGAATTTGTTGCTTTTGCTGTTGTTGCGGCTGCTGTGAACGTAAACTGTTGCTCGTCGTTGGCAGTACTGTTACACATTTCATAGGAGTTAATAGTGAGAGCTCTTCTGCGCTGCCAAATTGCTGATCTGTTGCTTCAGTTTGAGATGAAACTGGATTTTCTTGAGCTAGATTGTGGAATATAAAAATAACAGTGTTACAAAAGTATGATTAAACATATATTTCAGATTTATATAGTTCAGTAATCGAATCTAGCATGATTTGTTTATCAAATCTTTATCTTTGGGGTAAGCAAGTAACAAAAAAGCAAGTGTCGTAAAATTACTGTTACTTATGGTAGTTATTGCTGATACTAATGCATGGCTAGCTGAGAGAAAGAGAGAGAGAGAGCAAATTATACTATACGTGCTCTAATATATATGTATATATATATAATATAATATATAATTTATGTATAATATAATATATAATTTATATATAATATATGTATATTAGAGCACAATTCCAGCATACATTATATATATAAATGATTAGCGTGACGAGCTGAGTCGATTTAACCATGTCCACCTGCGTGCATATATGCGAACAAGTCCCTCAAGTTTTGAGATAGCGTTCTGAAATTCTCTTCGCCTCAAGAAGCAGCTCATTTATCGGATTCGCCTATGTCGTATCACTATAGCATGTAACAGTCATATAATTTGTTCGTCTAAAATAAAGTGCTTGACTGGAAAACTTTTTTATTTAACAAGGCAAGACTACAATCTCCGAAAATATTGTTCAGATCCGACCACTATAGCTATTTGCCTTTTTATTTGCCTCCACCATATTTGGCATAGCTCATTTTCCAAGGCAAGGCTACAATGTTCGAACATATTGTTTGAGTAGGATCACTATAGCATATAGCTGCCATACAAACTAACCGATCAAAATCAAGATAAAGCTCTTTTTATATGCCGTTATATGCTATAAGAACTGTGTAGGGTATTATAAATTCGGCACAGCTGAAGTAAATGTTTTTTTTTTTAATTTACTTACATTTTGTTGGAGATTTTTCCTCCACGCTGGGCGGCACCTTAGTTAATGCTGGCATAGCTACCGGTGAGGGTTGCAACGCATCGTTGATCTCAGCCGCAGAAATAACGTTTGGACGCGCCGTTAATGTGGGTAATTGTGTTGGCGTTGTTGTTGCTGCTGTAGGCTGGGTGACTATGCTTTCCTTAGCTGGAGCAAGTGGATCCTTTTGCGGAATACGCTTTTGAGAGGGCTCCGTAGTTTTAGTAACGCTTTCTGACAATGCAATGTCAGTCATGGAATGCGAAATTGAGACGGAATTTTCTTCAACTTGATAAAAGTATGAAATGAATAAATAAAGATTAGTAAAATTTTGCATAAGTAAGGCGAAAGTGATAAAGCGTTTACCTTGCTCTTTAACTTTATTTAAATTTAAATTTTTGAAATATGCCGCAACGGTGGAACGATTAATGCGCACACGCAATTTACGCAACTTCACTTTAGTGCCAAGCCGTGATAGCGTTGTTTGCTGTAAAACAAATATGTATTTTAAATAAAAATAATAGATTTAAGTATACACTAAGCATAGCTTACCCGCGAATGCTGTTGTGTGCTGTGTGCGCTTGCGCGGGCATCGGTCTGTGTTGGTGTACGATTTTTGAAACGTGATGGTGTTAGACGTGACACCCTTTGCGGCAATGAGGGCCGTTTAAATTGTGCTGCTACTGGTGTGGATGTAGGTGTAACCACTTTTTCAATACGCCCTTGCTTTGCAGCTGGTGGCGTCTGTTTGGCCAATTCGTTGGCAACACTTTCTTTCGTTTCTTTATTTGACGTAGACGCCGCCTCACTCTCCCTCTTTCTTTTAGTAGCATCGCGCACATTCGTTTTCTTCTTTGAGCTTTTAGTCGGGCTCAACTCAGCGGTTGGCATTTGCACCGCCGGTGGCTCCTTTGTTTTTTGCTCGGCCGAAGTGTTTACTTCGCTGACGCTTGTATTGCTGCATTTTGGCTCCGTCGTCGGGGCAGTCAGAATTTTATCCATACGTAGAGCACTTTCATCGGGTTCAAAGAGCACCTCTTCACCACCATCCTCACAGGTACTTTTCTTCTGTTGCTCTAACCATTCTTTGAAAGTGATTACCTTAGAACCGGGCGATTTAGTGGGTGATTTGCTTGAATTGGCTTTATCAGTGCTCACGGCATCTTTGCCAGTCCGGTTGGATACAACAATCTTCCTGTCCTTAAGCGACACAGTTGTGGCTTCTACTTGCTTCGATGCCACGGCTTTTTGTGATTGTTGTTGTTGAAGTTGATGTTGTTTTTGTTGAAGTTGATGTTGTTTTTGTTGTTGTTGCTGTTGAGGCGATTGTTTTTGTTTCAGTTGTTGTTGTTGTTGACTTTGTTGTGTTTGTTTTACTGGTAACTTATTCGTTGTTTCAGTCGCTTTGGTGCCGTCGGTTGGCCCAGCAGCCCGCAGCGATTTACGTTTAAACGTTGAATTTTTGTTATCCAATTCTTCTGCTTTAATGTCTTTGCGCTCTTCGCTTGTATTTATTGTATCATAGCCATCGATGGCTTGTAGACGTTTAAAGCGTTTCACCGGCAATTGCAAAGGATCTGTGGCTTCTGCTGAAATTGACGTGTGCGCATGATCAGCTTTTGCTTCGACACGTGTTATAGCCGTGGGCGTGCCAGTCGACGAGGTGGCTGATTGTTTAACTGCGCTTCTATGCGTTGTGGGAGTTTTCTTTTGTTGTTGTGTGCTCTCATCATTTGCATGCGCTTGCTTCTTGGCTGACTGTTGTGCATTTTCTAGCTCAGCCCAACGTTTCTTACTCAACTCAGTCGTTGTTGCTGTGGTTGGTAACTTTCCATGTTCCTGCTTACGTTTCACTTCCGGTGTGTGAACTTTATTAGCGCTATGGCTGGTGTTAATTAATTTGTCGCGCGTTTTAGACGTATTTATGTCATCGCCGATTGGCGATGACTTGACTTCGGATGCAATACTATGTTTTGTTGACACACCGGTTACACTCTCATATGCACTCTTGCTACCTTTCGTTGATTTACCTTGCTTCTCGTGTGCGCTTTTATTACTTGCTGTACTTTCCCTTGCTGCGCTAAAATGTTTGGCGCCGTGTTCACCCTCACTGGTGTCGACGTCATCATTTTGTATGCGTGCTGTGTATAAAGAATTGATAGACAGTTATAAAATAAAATAAAAATGTATAAAAACAAATAAAAAATTAAAAAAAAAATTTACAAAAACAAAATATTAATGCCAAAAAAAATATTTTGCAAAAAAAAATAATAAAAAAAATAATAAAAAAAAATAACAAAAAAATAATAATAAAAAAATTAACAAAAATAAATTATAAAAAAAAAAATAATAAAAAGAAAATTAACAAAAAAATATATAAAAATATATATGATGAAAAAAATAAAAAATAAAATATTATTAAAAACTAAATAAAAAAAAATTAACAAAAATATATATGATGAAAAAAATAAAAAATAAAATATTATTAAAAACTAAATGAAAAAACTAATATTAAATAAATATTAATATTAAAAATAATTAAAAAAAAAATTAAATGAATACGAAAACAAAATAATAAAAATATTTAAACAAAAAAATTAAGAAAAAAATATCATTAAAAAATTACAAAAAATATGTACAATAAATCTTAAATATTTTAAAAATTAAATAAATAAAACGTATAAAAAAACAAAAATAAAAATACATATATTATAAGAAAACAAATGTATTAAAAATATACAAATTTATTTTAAGAAAACAAATATAAAATAAAAAAAATATTAAAAAAAATTTAAAAAACATTTATAAAAATATTTTAAAACTAAAAAAAGTTTATAAAAATATTTTAAACTAAAAACAAAATATTGATAAAATTTATTTGAAAAAAACAATTTATTAAAACAAATATATATATAATATTTTAGAAAATAAATAAATAAAAGGTAAAATTTGAAAAAAATAAAAACTAAAAAAATAAAAATAAAAATTTATAAAAATATAAATTTATTTTAAGAAAATAAATATAAAAAAAAAAATATTTTAAAAAAAATTAATAAAATATATTAAAAAAATATAAAAAATATTTAAAAAAAAAATTAATAAAAATATTAAAAAACAAAAATTTATAAAAAAATATTAAAAAAAAATTAATAAAAAATATTTTAAAAAATTAATAAAAAATATTTTAAAACTTAAAAAAAAAATTATTTTAAAAAATTACAAATTTATATAAAAAAAATATATACAAAATACTTTAGAAACTAAATAAATAAAAAGTATTAAAAAATAATAATAACTAATTATAGCTTAATATAAGTACTTACATGATTTTCGTACTGGCTCCCATTTCAACTTTTTGCTCGGCGACTTATCTAGTTCTAATCAAAAATATAAGACAAGATATAGTAAAAAATGTATGCAACGCTAGTTGGCTTCTATTAATAACGACTTACCATTATTTTCCGCCGTTGTGTTTGGCGTGAGATCACGCATGCGCTTTCGTGCCAAATTCGTCGTTGGCGTCGCTGTAGCGAAACGACTGCTATTCGGTTGTTCCTTATGCAGTTTGTGTGCAGCATTTGTTAATGCCGAAGTTGGCACTTGATATGCAGTAGCTCTAGCGCCTTTCTTGTGATTTTCTATAAGGAAAAAACAAAGAGAAAAATTCGTTAAGCTAAAAAAATATTTGCTACATAAGTATTAATAATTTATTTTATTAACCATTTTTATTGTTAGGCGAATGTTCGGCAGCGCGCGTGCGCCTTGAACGACGCTTTACGCCTTCATGTTCGTCCTCGTCAGCCGACAGCAGTTGTGGAGATTGGGAAATTATTTCTATATCTGCATAGTGGCGTATATTCTTATAACGATTATGTTTTTTAGTTTCGCTGCGGCCACTTTCAGTAGCTGCTGGTTCCTTCACACTTTCCACAGCAGCACTCTCTTTTGTTGTTGCTGTTTGTTGCGTAGTAGAGTGTTGCTTATTAGGTTGGTCTGTAATTTCTGTATTTGCGGCGGCTTCGTGCTCTGTCGTTGCCTCCTTATTTGCTTCGATCTTATCTGCATGAGTTTCAGTTGTTTCGTTTGTCGGCTTCGTGTCAACAGTTTCGGCAACGATATTCTGATTGGCATTTTCAGCTGCTGTTTGAGTATTTGTATTTTTATCGCTGCTTTCAATATCTCTTTCAACTTCGACTGTTTCTTCTGTAGTCGTGTTTACGGTTTTTTCTAACGACTCAGCATTAGTACGGTTATGTTCAATTTCGTCGACATTCAATGCACCTTTTTCTATTATGGCTTCCTTATTTAAATTCTCACTTGCACTTTCGTCGACTATTTGATTTTCTAATTTATCGATACTTTCCACCACTTCACTTGCTGCCTTGCCATCTGTGGGAGGTTCAACTACATTTTTCTTCTCAATTGCTGTATCAGTTTTCTCTCGTTCATTTTCTGTAATTTCTTCTACTACTGCACCTCCCACAGTCGTAGTCGTATCTTCTAGTTTCTGCGTGTTTTCAGCAAGTCTTCTAGATTTACCTCGTCTTTTCGTGGTATTTTCGTCAACTTTTGTTGCTTGCTCGACCTTTTGTGCATCCTCAGCAGCTGTTGTTGCTTCCACTTTATCTACATCGTTGCTTTCTACAATTTCCGATTTGTTCTCTTCTTGTTTATCTGAGCTTTCGGTTGCTTTTTCTGTATCAACTTTCTTTTCATGCGTACCATCATCTATGTGATCTGCAACTGTTTTAGTTTCCGGTTGCGGTTGCTTTTCATTTTTTTTACCTGCTTCTTCAACTGCAGACTCTTCTTCGTTTTTAGTCTCTGATTTGCGTTTAACTCTCTTCTCTCGCGTTTTATAGAACGTTCCCCTTTTTGGTTCATATTTTGCGCTAGCGCTATTTTCAACAACTCCTTCATCCGTCGATTTATCAGTGCTTTCAATAGCAGCTTTTCTTTCTTCAGCTTTCTCGGTGCTTCCGGTAACAGTTGTTTCTTCTTCAGTTATCTTTGCGCTTTCAGTAGGTTCTTCTGTTCTTTTATCGTTCTGCTCTACTTGAATAGTGTTTACATTATCGCTCGCTGCAACTTTTTCCTCTATCTTCTCTAAATCTTCTTTACGACTTTCAACAGCGGACTCTTCTAGCTTGCTATCGCTCGTTTCGTCGCAATTTTGTATGGTACTGATTTTGCTGGAGTCAAGATTTGTTTCCGTGTTTAACTTTTCATTGATTTCAGCATTTTGCTCTGCAGTTTTCTTATCGGCTGTTTCGGTTTCCTTTGAAGTTGTTGCTTTCGATTGCTTTGTTTCGCAAACGTCATTTTCCGTTTCTTTTTCAACGTTCAATTCACTCTGCGACACTTGCTTAGTATCTTTACCAGATTTGGTTTTCCGTGTATATTTCTCATTTTTCCATTTAAGCTTTCGATAATCAGTATCTTTGTCATCTTCTGATTTTGCTTTTGACTCTTGCGTTTTCTCTAAATCTTCTAGTGTTTTATCTGCAGATTTTTCTTCTTTCAAATCAATTGTTGCTTTTATTTCAGATTCCCTATTTTTCGAGTCTTTCTTTACTCTCTCTGTAGAAGTTTCATATTTTGAATCACTCTTTGATTTCTCTGAGGATTTTGCCTCTTTAGAATCACTTCTTGCTATCGCTGAAGTTTTTTCCTCTTTCGAATCACTCCTTACTTTTACCTCCTTTGAAACTTTTCTGTATCTATCGGCGGACTTTTCTTGTTTCGAATCAATCTTCGCTTCCTTTGACGATCTTTCCACTTTCGAGTCATTATTTGCATTTACCTCCGTTTTTTCATCTTTTGCTCTTTCTATAGACTTATCATATCTTGAAAGACGCGTTGATTTTCCCTCCTTTGAACTTTTGTTTGTCCTATGTGTAGAGTCTCTGGACTCACTCCGTACTTTTTCCGCACTTCTTTCGTCTGTCGAGTCTCTTTTAGACTTGTCATCGGATTTATCTGTCGAGTCTTTTTTAGATTTATCATCGGATTTTTCTTCTTTTGAAGCCTTCTTTGGTATCTCCGTCGACTCTTTTGAATCGGTTTTTGTTTTTTCAGCAATTTTTTCTTCGTTTGAACCCTTCTTTGTTCTCTCTGTAGATCCTTTTGAAGAACTCTTTGATCTTTCTTCTTTTGAGTCACTCCTTACTTTATACTCAGTTTTCTCTTTTGTTTCCCTCTTTTCTGTTTCTGTGGAATTTTCATATTTGCGACCACTCGTCGATTTTTCCTCTCTCGAATTCTTCCTTGCTCTCTCGGTAGACTCTTTTGAATCAGTCTTCAATTTTTCTGCAGTGTTTTCTTCTTTTGAATCCTTCTTTGCTCTATCTGTAGATCTTTCATATTTTGAATCTCTCTTTGACCTTTCTGTAGACTTATCGCTCTTTGAATACTTCTTTGTATCGTCTGCAGATTTATCCAATCTTGAATCCTTATTCGATTTAATTACAGATTTTTCATCTTTCGAAGAATGTTCTGCTTTATCCTCAATTTTCATAGATTTCGTATGTTCACTGGCTTTTTCTACAGATTTATCTCTAGTTCGATCACGTCTACTTTTACTTGTGTGTGTTTCATATTTAGAATACCTTTTTGTTTTATCGCCAGAGTTTTCATCTTTCCTAGCTGTATCGGTTTTATCTTTAGATTTATCGTGTTTAATATCTCCTTTTGCTTTCTCCGTAGTATTTTCAATATCTTTATTTCTTTCTTCTGCCGATTTTTCAACGCAAGCATCTTTTTCATCTACAACTGTAGGCGTAGATTCTTTAGTAGCGCCTTTTGTTTTAACCATCGTCATTTCTTTTTCTTTCGAGTCAATTTTCGGTTTATCTACAGTTGTGTTGGCTGCTGTCTCACTCTTTTCTAAATCAGTTGGCATTTCACCTTTTTCTGTGGTGTTTATTTTCCGCAAAAGTTTTTCATTAAGCACTTTTGATAGATCTGTCTTTTTTAGGGACACCACTAGTCCACGCACTCTTTTGTCGTGTCTGGCTGTCATTTCAGGCGTTTTGCACTTTTCTAAGTGCGTCTCGACTTCGGTTTTATGTTGTTTTGTCTGTGCTGTAGTTTCTTTCGTGATTTTCTTTTTATCTGCTACTTTTGTTGTTGTGCTACTTTCTGTGTCACCTATTTCTTTCTTTTCTACAGTTTGTGCTTCGGCTACTCCGCTCGGCAGTTTTGGCATTTTTGTACCACGAGGCGTTTGAGATCGTTCGTTGCGTTCGTTCTTTGTATCACTCCTTGAAACCTCTTCCTTTTTATCGTATCTAGACTTTCTCTGCATTTCAGAATTCGTCTTTTCTGTATCTATATTTGATTTACTCATATTCTTGCTTTTATCATCAATTTTATTATCCACTTTTGTGGTATTACTTTTGTTCCTGCTGGATTGTGGCCTTTTACCCACTTCTTTTATATTTTCTCCGGCGCTATCTTCATTCAATTTTCCAGCTTTAGCGACAATCGTTGCATCTTTCTCTCTGTCTTTATCTTTATTTCTCACATCATCCGCAGTTTTTTCCACAGTTGCTTTATCAGCTTTTGCTTCATCTTCCTTCGTCTCATTGTAAGCCTTTGCTTCTTCCTCGCTTGGTTTCTTTGCAGCAAGCAACGTTTTACTTTCTGTAAACTTAGCACTCATGGGTGTCTGTGAGCGTCTTAGGCTCACGCGTTGTTTATCCTTTCCACGCATTTTCGTAACAGTTTCGTGCAGCTCTTTGGCATTCTTCGAGCTGGTCGCACAGTTTTCCTCATTCTCATTCTCATTTTGTGTTTTTGCACTTTCGGCCGAGCTTTCATTTTTCATTTCATACTTTTTGCTTGGTTGAGTCTCCTCAGTTGGTGTTGTAGTATCTGCAGTTTTTATATTACTTTGTTCTTCGTGCTTCTGCAACTGCAACTCTGCATTTGTTTTCGCTTCCGTGTTCAAATCAAATTTTTCTTGTTCTGTGTCTTTATCGACAAGCACTTTTTCATCATGCTTTTCAATTTTACTTTCGTCATCTTCATTATAAACATCTTCTTCTCCTTTTTTTAGCGCCCTATCGCTCATCGTTTCATCTTCTAGCTTTTCTTGAGCTACTTCATCTTCCTCATCGAGTTTTGTAGCATTTTCAGTTATACTCTCTACTGCATCATAAAAAACTGCTTCCGCTTCCTGCAGCTCATCAGCATTTCTTTCATTCACTTCTCTTTCGTTGCACTCATTTGTAGCAGCTTCTGTGCCACTTTGTTTGATATTCAAGTTTTCGTTTGTCTCAGCACTCTCCACTGTTTCAACAACCTGCTCATTTATGACTTCAATTTGGTGCACAGTTTCATCAACATTTTCAGTAGTTAGCGAATTCATTACAACGTTACCAGCATTATTATCAGCTGCTTCGTTAGTAGTGTTATCATTGCCTGACTTTTCTTTATTCTCTTCAATAGTTTTTTCTATATCTTCATTGTCCAAATATTTTTTTTCTTTTTCAACGTCTTCCTCCACAATTTCTCCCATATCCATTTCCATTGTTTCAGTTGTGGATGGCTCTGCGGAAGATAATGCATTGGTTAGTAATTCTAATTTCTGTGTTTTAAGTTGATCACCTTGAATTACTCCTGGCTTCGCAATTGTCATGCTATCCACTTGACTATCACTAGAAACAATTGCACTCTCTGGCATAACATCCGTTTTCTTATCTTTGGCCTCATCTTTACTATCAGTTACAACTTCAACCTCCATACCAGGTTCAACTTCATCAATATCTTTTGCAACAAATTTAAGCTCCTCTGCCTTATCAGTTGCTACGGATAGCACTGTATCTATACGCTCCAATAGCGTATCCTTTGCTGTTGTATTTATATCCATATACGTTGTTTTATCATTCGTACATTCGTTTGATGTTTCTTGTTTGCGTTCACGACTTGTTGTCGCCTCGGTGTCAACATACTGTCGTACACGAAACTTTGACGTAGCATTTGCATTTCTTTCCAATACAGAGCCCTCCTTAGTAGTTTCGTCAAATTTCGACGTGATTTTTGTTGGTGTATCCTCCTTATCACTTTTATAATCATCAGAAACTGTGGGGGAAGGCGTTGACCCACGTATTTTGTCTGTAGGTTTTTGTTTTTGTATTTTTACTTTCACCTTATCTTACTGAATAAGTTATAAAATATGTACTTACCTAGATTAGCACGCTCATAGTTGGAGTCGTTAGACAATTCAATAATATGACGTTCATCACAGTCCACATCACTGAGCGTAACGAATGTATCAGCAGATACATCAGAGTATATAAATGAATCAGTATCGCTGTCGGATTCGTTTTCAATATTTTCCAAACCTAACAATTTGTTGAAATATAAATGCATATTAAAAATACGTATGTATAAATTATTTTATATATATAACTATTTTTATATAGGCAAGCATTTATGCATAAATAATGTATACTAATATATATCTATATGTACTCCGCTTTGCTTACTTAAAGGATCTTCTGCGGGATCTTTTATCTGTGGTTTCTCCGGTTTTATAATGGTTGTCTGCGAACGTTCAACTATGCGCTTAGATGCTGCCATGGGCGTGTTATTTTTGCTGCTGTTAAGCGTATTATTGCTATTGCCTGTTGTTGAAGTAGCAGCTGAAATTTGTTTACGCGATGTTGAGGGAGTCGGCGAGGCAACCTTGGATGAATTTGCGGAAGCACTAGTTATTTTCGTATTTTGTATAACAGCACTTCTACTGCTTTGTAATGTGCGAGTTGTTGGCAACGCATGCTGCAAAATGAATATAAATTATCAAATACATTTTTTTCACAATAAAAATAGAATAAGAAAAACAAGCATAATATAACTTACATCATTAGAATTTATTAACTTCGTTGCTGTTGACGCTTGGCCAAGATTTTGTTGCACCGTTGGCCTTACCGTGGCGACGGATTTAGCTTTGTTATTGCGTTCCACAATTGCTTTAGTCGCTTCTGTTTTGTTTGTTTTAATGCTACCACTGGATAGAGGCGTTGGTGAGCTGGTACCTTTTGCCATTGTAGTTGTGGTGGTAGCTATAAAGTTTACAAAAAAAAAAATTAAATACCAAACAAAAAAATATATTTATTTAAAGCTGATTTTTACATTTTTGTACGGTTTTGTTGGGTTGAGTAACTTTTATATTACTTTGTTTAGGTTGCGGTCTGTTCGTTGATTTTGAACTGTCTGCATTTACATTGAATGGCTCACCTAACATATAAAATGTATATATTTATTTGAACTTGCAAAATAATTTTTTTTTTTTTAATTTGTTATACCTAATTCTTTTACGAGCATATCAAGCGAGTCCATGGAAACGCGAGAATAACGTGAACTGCGTTCACTACGTTGACTCAGTTTTGCAGGGCCTAATAAATTTTTTTTTTTTAATAAAGCACATATTTACGCACCACAAACATACCTTTTTTATGCATTACGGATTCGTCGTCCGAATTATCATCGAATAAACTGTCGAAAATATCTTGATCTATAGAAGAAGAGTCTTCATCATCTGCCATAGCGGCAAGATTGGTCCTGTTGCGAACTTTAGTAGTTGTAGCTTGAGTACTCATTGCTTAAGAAATGAATGTCGTATAATTAATGTGGAAATTATGAACAAGCGCTGTACACACAAAATATCGTCAGTTTAGTGCAAAATTTACTTACTTGGTAGAATTAAATCTTCGTACTCCTCCAGGTATTCAATTTCGTCCATTTTTAAATATATATTTGTCAGCAAATTTGTTGAATTTTTTTTGCATTCACCCTTACGCCATTACTGCCTGTATTTATATTACACTAAAGGAAATCGTATAAAAACTCGTCGTTAACGCGTTATTATGTAGATATATAATTCTGGTTTTCCGCACCGTACTTTTTCTATTCAATACACTGTATGAAATTTTTATATTTTAAACACTTTAAATTGTCACATTAATGCACATATTTTCACCGAAAAAGATCTTTTTATAAATCTGCAAAACTCACAAAAAGAACAAGCGGTACCGCGCGCGTACATCCACAAACTTGGTTGTATATTGTTTTTGTGGATGTCATTTATACCCGCATTGGTTGACAAATGGATGTAGAAATGACACTTTTTGGAAATGCAAAACATTTTGCGAATTAACATTTATATGTATTTGCTAAAAAGTTTATATAAAATAGAAAAAAACTATTGCTTTAAATTAAAATATTTGTGTACTAAAATGCAGTTTTTAAATAAACTAAGTAATGTTTGAAATAAGTTATATTAAATGTTGGTTAATTGCAAAAATATGTATACCATATTTTGTTGATGCAATAGCAATTGATGTATCGCTATAAATATTCGAAGAGTTGGCAACTTTCACCATATTACCATTGTGAATGTTGCTACTTCAGAAAGTTTATTGTGAATTATCAACTCATAGTCACAGCAAGCGGGCATTTACATTTTAATCACAAGCTATTTGTGAAAATTCGTGATAGAATATTAGTTATAGTGTGCTGCTAGCAGTTATTTAAAAAATAAAAAATAAACCCCGTAGAATAGTTGTAATGGTAAGTCTATATATATAAAATATTAGTTATTTAAAACAACATTATGGATGGTCGAGGCAGTTTGAGCTAGAATACTCTGCATTGTTAACCGGTGTATGCATATGTAGTAATATAGAAGTGAATAGTTAATAAATTCGCAAAAACATTGAAAATAATTCGCATAGATTGTAAAGATAGTAACAAGCTGAGTTGATATTAAATTAAACCAAACGTTAACATAACCTCATTATGTCGGTTTATGTTTAGGGTATTTGCGAAATATCAAATAGCAATATTGAATTTTTTCTTATTGTAGAGCCCACGTTCACGTAGCCGTAGCCTTTCCCCACGTCGCAGTTACACTAAGTCGCCAGTTCGTCGCGGCAATGGGCGCCGGTAGGTATCAGTTGCTTATCCAATTTGCTATAAATAGTAATATTAACTTTCTTATATAGGCGGCATTCTAGAGAAAAGTTTTATAGCTCTCGCAGTAGATCAGCTTCACGACAACCGCCTTCTCCACCACCACTGCCATCAGGACGAGGTGGACGTTACTCAGAAGCCAGCCAAAGCTCTTCAACGTAAGTATCTACCATACACAATTCATGCTAGTTGCTAATTTATGCATCAATATATTTACATTTATTTTTTCATGTTTTATGAGTAGCCATGACAACCAGAATTTATTTTTTTTTTGTTTCTGCAAAGTTTTTAGTTTCACCAAGTGGATAAATTTTCTTGCAAGGCGTCAATAATCATTTAAAAATCATGAAACATGTGTGTTTTGTTTTTTGTCGGAGTTGAGTTACTAGACTAACTAGATTTATATATATTTTTTTCTTAAATGTAGCTATATAAAAATTTTTCACGGCTGTAAATAACTAAAGCCTTTCGACATGGTGTGAGTTTTGTAATTTTTCGGAATCTCGAATTATTTTTAAGCACTGTATTTACAACGAAAGTTTTCAATAACGTAGTGGTTGTTTTTTCCGTTTCAGAATAGTGAAATTATAGCAAAAACTTATATGAACTCAAATAATGAAAGGCATAATTTCAATGTAAGATTCGATTTCAAAAATATACACAGAATTGACTTGAACGGCAACAATTTTCAAACAAAAACCAAATGTTACTTCTGTGAATTAAAAGATCGAGATAATCGGCGAAACGCAAAAAAAAAGTACACAATATTATCAAGTCTAATGCAACAGCGCAAGTTTTGCAAATTACATCACAATATAATCCTTTCAATGAAACTCAAGTGTGAAATGCATTAAAAAAATGAATTTTTAACGGGCACACATGAAAAGCTAATGATCAACACAGTTATCAGCGCGAATAGTTTTTTGAAAATATATATTTACACTTGGTGTGGTATATCCAACATTCAATATTTGCATTTTTTCCTCTTTCGCATGTTAAAAGGTCACTCTCACCACGTCATGGCCGTCGTATAACCCGTTCACGTTCTCGCAGCACACACGAAAATCGTCGCGGTAATCGAGTAAGTCCTATTGACTTGATTTTAAATGTTTATGCATTTGTAATATTTTTGGTTCACATTTTGACAGGAAAAACCAGTGCAAAATCGTTGTATAGGTGTATTTGGTTTAAGTGTGTATACAACGCAACAAAAAATACGTGATATATTTTCAAGATTTGGACCCATCGAACGAATACAAGTCGTAATTGATGCACAGGTGAGCAGATTGATTATACAAGGGATGAAGATGAAGTTGCCATACAAATATTACGCATACATTTACAAAAAATACTTTTTGCTAAATGATGTAAAAAATGGCTAAACTAATTACTTGCTAAATTGGAGATAATGAGTAGTGCGCTAAAGACGCTTGCGTGCATATGCTAAAGGCTCTCCCATACACTTAAAAACACTGAGCATTAAAAATTTTTGTTTTTTTGTCTATGTAAATAATATAATTTATACTTCGCAGACTGGAAGATCGCGCGGATTTTGTTTTATTTATTATGAAGACATAGCGGATGCTAAGGCGGCCAAGGACGCTTGCTCCGGCATGGAAATCGATGATCGGCGCATAAGAGTTGATTACTCAACAACACAAAGACCGCACACACCCACACCTGGTGTCTATATGGGCCGACAAACACGGTATGTGAACAAATAGTAATATACATACATACATATGTATAGTAAATCGTTAATAATTTTTCTCTACCTTCATTTGCCAAGGCGTGAACGTGAACATAATGATCGCTATAGAGATGACTATCGCCCGCGCCGTCGCTCGGGCTCACCTTATCACAATCGCAGCAATAATTACCGCAGTGATCGAAGGCGTCGTTATGAACGCAGCCGAAGTCGTTCCTATTCGCCGCGTATGTATATTAACTACAAAATCTTTTATAATCTATTGAATGTTTGTTTTATGTTTACAGGGCGCGCACGCTACTAAAATCGCTCCATGCATATAAATTAAACTGTTATCAGTAATTTATACGCAAAAGAAAAAAAACACACACACACACACCTCAGTGCTATAGTAGTGGTGTCGAAAAATAAACTGTTACCTATATTTTTCAAATGGATTTAATGTGCAAAAAGCGAACAAAAAAATTACAAAATTACAAACAGCTACTGAATTTTAGCGTAATATCATGAGTTATTGTTTGGTTGCATTAGTGTTTCGTTAAGGTTGCCATACTATATTCAGCATTTGGCAGCAAATTCTTTATTATAAATAATGTTTCGAATAATTTGTATTTTCAAAAATTCAATACTGGCATCAACGACGTGTTCAGCAAACAGCACAATATTTCAGACTTTCGCCCCACTTCGGAATTTACTCAGTTTTTTTTTTATTGTTTATGCTAGTTTCAATGCAATTACAATTGCTACTTATTTAATAATACCATTATTATTTGCTTACTTATAATTGTTATTAACAACACATTTTATTAGTTGACTACCAAACATTTCAATCAGTCACTTTAATGTTTAGCAGTAGAGTGTAGTGTATCGCAATTTCCCAATTATAAAATATAAACAAAAACACCAGTTAAATGTGCTGTAGCAACCTCTGCATTAAAGAATTTGCATATGTAACTATTTAAATGTATGTATGTATGTCCACTAGACATTATCGAATAACTGTGGGGTAGAAGTTTCGCTACTATTTTTATATATTATAAAAAAAAGCGAGACTACAACTTTTGTTTACTTGTAATTTTAATTAGTTTTAATATTTACTAATAAAAATGGAATAAAAGATGAAGAAAAAATCGAAAGCAAATGATTTTCAATTTATACATGTATGCATGAATTATATACGGGAAAAACAGCTCTAGAAAAATTAATTGAAAATATTTTGAAATGTAAAACTCTTAGAGCCTTAGCGGCGTTTTCTAGTTCCTTAAAGCAATTAAATATCAAATTTGCTTCAATTATAACTTCTATCTGCAACTAATAGTTGTTTTCACAGCTTTACATATATATTTTTGAAAATAAAAAACGCAGTTACTTGTTGGCATTATGTTGTTGTGTTTGCCTGGAGGTCTTATACGCTATCTCCAGTGTACTTTGTATAATTTGCATGTCACTTTCTATGCTACGCGCCCAATTCTCCACATCGCCCAGCTCCTACAACAAAAAAATAAAATAAATAAAAAATTGCCCATATAGCCCCATTACAGCATATGTACCTTCAATGCACTACTGAAATTATCGATCAATTGTAGCCACTGCTGTGTTTGTTTGGCAAAGTTGGTAGCGCCAACGTGCAGCTGCTTCGCCTCGGCATCCAAGCGTTTTTGATTTAAGTATGCTTGTGCCACACTACAAAAAACAACATAAAAATAAATAAATTTTCATGCTTTAAAGTAGGTATACACATACCCAACATTTAAGTGGTCGACAATGGCCTGTGTTAACTCATTTGATGATTCAATAACGTCTTTGCGTCGTATTTCTAAGCATAAGTTAATTTATTTTTACATATTTTTAATGTTGTTGCTTAATGCATACCTTGCTCCTGTTTTCGCTTGACTTGTTTAACTTGATATTCTTTAACCATAGAAGTTAACATTTTGGCAATTTTCCCAACAGTTTGTTTACTATAACAGATGATTCGATATTATTGTATTCCTGTACATCTGCTTACAATGGGAAAATGTGCATTCACAATAGTGGTATTTGTAATGAAAAAAAGTTGTGATGCCAAGCCATCGTGTCATCCTTGCCATCGTAAAGGGCAAGCTATTATTTTTGTAGGTATAAAATTTTGTACGGAGTTTTAAATTATTATGAAAACAATTGTTTTTTTATTTGGCTATTTTTGAGACGTTAAAGCGTTCATCATAAAACCATGTTATGTTATTATGACTTGTATTGTTTCTTTGTTATAATCTTTTTTATTTATATATTATTTTTTTATGTTATATGATGTTTTAAACATTTTATAATATGAATACACGTATTTAGGGATGTATATGCGTTATATAAGCCTACTCGGGAACCAAGCACCTAAAAATTATAACGAAATGCTAAATACACAAAAGTTATTTTTAAAATACCCAAACCTTTTTCTTTAGACAGTGGCATGATTGACAAATGTTATAACATATACCGTTCACATAACAGTTTGGTCTACGTAGCCGAAACGGACCCGGATTTTTTCCGGCCAAGGACTGTTAACTTAACAAAATTCTGCCGCTACAACAACAAATGTTATAAAAAATGTGGGTTTTGACAGCTCTCTCTCAAATCAAAGAGTTTCGCATTATTTCATCTAGAGATTATCCCTGATCCCTGATTTCATCCTTGCCTTGCCGGCGCGCTTGTCATTTTATAGGTTTTTCAAAGAAATTCCTGTCTGAAAATGCCGAGAGTAAGCAAAGTTTCGAGAGAAGGCCGACAAAGTGGAAGGACTTATTTGTGTAGATCAAAGAGAAGATTTAATCCAAATAAAATAATTAAAGATGAAACTACCACAAAAAGAGCTTCATCGAAAAAAATCAAGCTAAATACCAGTGCAAGTATACCAGAAGACATTAAAAAACACTACAGAATCGTCGATTTTTTGCTTGTTTTTTCAACCATCGCAAGTTTAGTAAAATGTGCTCATTGTGATGGTTCAAGGCAAGGCTTCTGCTCTTCCTTTGGCGTCACTTCCTTGATTGGATATTGGTCTGGAAAAGTTACCGACATTTTGATAACTAGTTTGCACTGTCAGGCTTGCAAATTATGGAAGAAGCAATTAAATACTAATGAGTTTAAAGAGTGGTACCAAGAACACGTTGAAAATGATGAATGGCAAGCCAATCAGACCGGACCATCAGCTAACATGGAAGTCAATGCTGTTATTGAATTGTTCGGCCGATCAGAAAAAAATTACGGAGCAAAGATCAGTAATTATATCGGAGACGGTGACAGTAAAACTTACGGCAATTTGTTGAAAGCTAAATCTTACGGTGAAAATTTCACTATAAATAAAAAAGAATGTGCCGGTCACATGCAAAAAAGAATGCTTAAACGTTTACGTGATCTTGTAAAGAAAACTGTAGAAACTAAAGAGATAAAAACTGGAACTGGCGGCAAAGGAAAACTCACTGGAAAAGTCATTGATAATTTGAGTCGATACTACGGAGCAGCAATCAAACATAATTGTGTTTCACTAGAAGGAATGAAAAATGCAATCTGGGCAACGTTCTACCACCTGCAGTCAACAGGCGATAATCTTCAACACCATAAGTGCATGAGCGGTGAGAATTCTTGGTGTTCATATCAAAAAGCTCTGGCCACAACAGGAGTGGAAAATTTTAAACATGACTACACTCCACTTCCACAAGATGTCATACAAGCGATCAAACCGATTTATGAAGATTTGAGTAAAGACAAACTTCTAGAAAGGTGTCTTGGAGGCTTTACTCAAAATGCCAACAAAAGTTTGAACCAGCTGATTTGGAGAATTGCACCGAAAAAATTATCTGGAAGCAAACAAATTGTTGAATTTACAGCTTATGTAGCTGCATGCACTTTCAATGAAGGTGCTAGTGCTTTTCTAACTTTTCTGTCTGATATGAATTTTAGCGTCGGCACAAGCGCTCATGAATACGCAACATTCGCGAACAACAATCGCATTGACAGGGCTGAGATTCCAACTGAGCAGCAGAGCAAAGAAGCCAGAATAAAACGAAGACTTGATGGAGCTGGAATCGATGATTCTATGTAAGTTGGAAAAAAAATTCTTTTCGTCATTTTTTTCGTTCGTAAACTTTAGACGCCCCCCAACGTTTAGTAAAATTTTTTTTTTACATTAAGAATGTTTTCCACCCCCAAAATGGCGAAATTTTTAGTGGAAAATAACAGTTTACACTTTAAATAGCCGCCAAAAATTTTTAAATGGAAAAAAAATTATCAGAGAACATTGGTGGGAAGATTTGATCATAATATAACTAATTTTTCTTGGTTTTTTTTTCAGATAATTTTCAGCCGAGTTATGGTGAACACCGCAAATTGTTTTTTTCTCAAGACGTTCTGGGTGAAGCTCTATTACCGGCTTATGCTTCAATATTCCTGCATGAAAAAATTACCCTATATTGTCGAAAATATGTTTAATAATGTACAAAAGGTCCGAATAAAATTACTCAATCCATATTTAAGAAAAAAATTCGCAAAAAAAGTATTATTTTTTACCTTGAAACCTTAACCCCCCCTCTTAAATATGTTTTATGTTTAATAGCAATCATTATATTAGTAAGTATTTTAAAGAGTAGTCGCTTTCACTCGCCTTATTTTTATGTTTTTTTTTTAATATTTATCTTATTTTTTGTAAAATTAAACTATAAAAATGGTTTATGGTTTTCATAAATTTGTATATATTTTTAATTTCATGTTTTTCGATTAATATATTCCTTTTAATAAGATGTTCTAACAAATACAACATATGACTAAAAAATTTTAGTGAATAAAATACTTTATAATTAAAAAATCCACTAACAAGTAATTATTGTTTGTCTTAAATTCATAAAATTTTAATATACATTCATACAAACATACATATTTATTGTTATCAATCGATTTTATATAATAATTCGGGTGTGTTAATAAAAGTTTCAATAAATTACTTTCCTTTGAGGGTAGAAAATGTAAATAACAACAACAACTATTCAAAAATAGTAAGAGTAAGTTGTATAATAAAAAATTAATAATATAAACAAATTTTAAGCGATTAAATTAATAAAAAATGTTAGTAAAATTTATATATTATAATTAACAACAAATTATTAATATAAATTATATATTATAATAAAAGCATTCTTGTAAAATAATAAAATTAAGTAGTAATAATAAACAAATAATATAATACAAAAACAAATATTTGTACTTTAATAAAATCTTATGCAAATTAATGCTGATAATTTAATTAAATAGCTCCGAATATATGGAATATTAAATAAAATGAAATAAAATTATTAATTATTATTAATTAAATTTTGATAAATGAAAGTAATTGACATACGAATATTTTAAATCAAAAAAAGTCAAAAAAGAAGTATAATTACGATAAATTAAAATCATTTAAAATAATACGCAGCTTCTTAAACCAAAATAGTTAAAAAAAAACTATTCTAATATTTTTTCAAAATTTGTGTAAACTCATTCAACAGAGATGAGCTACAGTTCATGATCAAAAGTAACTTCATTAAAATTTTTATTTATTTTTGTAATTATAATTAAAATTTATTTTTTTTTTTGATAACTTTCATTTTTAATGTTTTTTTTTTAATTTGTATACCCATGATATAGAAATTTGTCAACAGCACAACATAACAGTTTGAAATCACCCAAGTCAAAGAATGTACGCGCTACAAGTATATTAAAATTAAATATATACTTACATACATACAGATGTCCTATTATTTGAGTTATTTTGAAGTTCGAACAGTCAAATGGTTTCGATAACATTTCAAAATGCTTAATAATCGTTTGAAATGTATCATATATTTATAATATTTATATACATACACATATATAGTATGTATGTATGTACATATATGTTTTGCCTCAATAGTTATGTGATAATTGTATGTAACTATTAATACTTAGATATTTCAACACCAACAAGTGCCTTGCAGTCTATTTTCAAAAATACCAGTAATATCAGTTAGTGCGTTCGTCATTTCTTGTGAAATATTGGCTACTTTATTTAAATTGTTTTAATGCTGAATTGGGCTTTTTATATTGTTATTGCTATTATTTATTTATTTTATGTTTAACAACGCTAATGACTGTGTTTTATTTACAAAATTTATTTTTTATATTTTTTTTTTACAAATATTAGTTTTTTTTTTTATAATTAGTTTACTGGATAAATGCTGTGAATGATTCAAACTTTTATTTTAATGTTTTTGTAACATTCGTCTACCAATTTTAATTTAATATTTAATTATAATAGATATATAATTCTCTAAATCGTTAGTTGTAATTTTGTTTAATTATACAATATTCATTTCAATACAAATATGAAGGCATTATGTGTAAAAGAAAGTCTTTATATGTATTGGAATATGATAGTTTAATTAATTATTATAAATATTATATATAATATATGAGGCGGCGATTAACGCTTTTAAGCGTAAGTAAAGTCGCGATTTGCTTCTGGTTGTCGCCAAATTTTTCAAAATACATGCCGGGTTGCAAATAAAAAAAAAATAAAAAATTAATTGATTTAATATTTAAATACAATAAAAATTTTATTTTTGTCTTCCCGAAAATATTAAGTAAAAAAAAAATTAAATAAAATAAAATAAAAAATTAATGCTAAATACTGGACAGAAAAAAATGTATCCCAAGTTTATAATTAAAAATTACAAAAAAAAAATTTTTTTTAATATACGTATGTACAATACATAAATTTTTCGCGCTTGCTTAATTCGTGTTTTTAATTATTACTAATCTCAAATACGATTGAAAATTAAAAAAAAACTTGTTATTCCAAAAACCGAATCCAAAAAGAAATTCTATACAATATAGCGGTTTGAAAAAAATTCAATTTCAAATACCGTATTAAAAAATATATGTCAAATAAATTATAATTAAAACTTAAAAGAAAACATTGTTTTTGAATTTAAATTTTTTCGCGCTTGCTTAATTCGTGTTTTTTTTATTACTAATCGCAAATAACAGATTGTACTACAGCTGGCACAGAGCCAGCATATTTAATACTTTGGAGCAGTATTTGACAAACTTATACATTCAAAACGATTTTGGAATTAAATAATTAAATTCTCAAAAAAAAAAAAATAGGAAAAAAACCAAAATTAAATATTCAATTTTTAATTCTGATTTTGAGTTTAAAAGGTATTTATTTATTTATTTATTTTATTTATTTTTCTATTTTATTTAATTACGATTTTTCAATTAAAGCTAAAATTTTCAATTAAAATTAAAATTCTCAATTTTTAACCCAACATTTTGGATTAAAAATTAAATTTTTTATTTTTACATTTATAATTTCTAATCTCCATATTTAAAATTTTTAATTCCAAAATTAATTAAATTAAAATTAATAATTAATTAAATTAAGTTTTTAATTTTTGATTCAAAATTTTTTAATTAAAAAATACGCAACCCTGCTTTTATGTGTATTTTTTCACAAATCTACTAAAGGATTACATTACATATTACAACAACTTCGCTTAAGAAATTTACTACGTTAACAGACAGGTGTTCCGCTGAATCCCTGTACAGTGTTAATACACACGAAATTGCTTTTGAGAATTTTTGCACATTTTTATGCATGTTAAACTACAAATTCAACCACACATACATACTCATACAATTTTCAATATAACATATATTAAATACTAAATATTGATTCATTTAATTATGCCTATTTTTAGTTATGTTATTTATATTAATCTTGCTAAAAATATGTTTTCACTATACCATTCCACGCCGCTCTCCTCCACAACACATAACGCTGTGATATTTACCATTGCTGTGCTTGTTGTTGCTGTGCTACGGCACCACCCACACCGGCGCTGCCATAAAGGAAACTTGATTGTCTTATCACAGATACCGTTGCCGCGGCCACACCGGCTTGCGGTGGTGGTGCGGGTGCGCGATGCTTCTTCACACCCAACGGGAATAACGGTTGTGCCGGCTGTTTGCGTGCTACACCGCTAGCCAGCGCTGTTGATGTTGAATCTGTGGTTGTTGGTGTTGCAGTGTTAGTGCTTTGCCCATCAGCATTATTGTTGTTGTTGTTAATGTTATTTCCTGGAAGTGGCGCTATATTATAGGGCAAATAAATTTATTTTTGGAAAAATGTTCAATGATTATTTTTGCTATAATGATTTTTTTTGTTTGTTTATTAGTAATGCACACATGATGGCGCAAGCGCCTATAAATATGCTTTAATTTATGCATTTTTGCGTTTCTCTGGCACATGCTAACTTAAATTCGAGTGCGTAAAAATTAACGATCTCTAAATATTGTTTTTTTATTATTTACTATTAGTTTTTGAAGTAATAATAAAAAAATATTACTAATATTTTTCAACTGCGTTCCAAATGGCTATATTTAGAATTCTCATAAAAATACAAACATTGGACAAGTAAGTTTTTGCTGCGTTAAAATTTCAGACAGTATATGCAGTTGTTGTTGCTGGAACAGTAACAAAAACCGTCAATCAATTTTGTTGTTGTTGTAGTGTCAAAAAACATCGCTGAAGTAATTTTGAAGCATGCTGCCGCAGCGACAGTCAGTGGCCCGATTACAAGCCGGATTCGTTCCGGTTACGTAGACTCGGCAATCGTGGTAGCTAATATTATATAATAATTACTAATAGTTTTCGATATTAGTTTTTGATCATAAAGCCGAGTTTAGAGTAACTGACCGAATATAAACCAATTTTGACCCGACTGCCTTCGAAAAGAAAGAAGTTACAGTTTAAATGGTCCTTCAGGGAGCAGCTATAACTAATATTTTGCATATAACCTCTATAAGTTAAAATGAAAATAAAGGATTCACTTGGCATTTACTTGTGGCTGAACATACAAGCGGGACGAGTTGAGTCGATTCAGCCATGTGCCTCTGTCTGTCTGTATAAACGCGAGCTAGTCCCTCAGTTTTAGAGATATGGATCTGCAATTTTGCACACCTTCTTTTCTCCCGACGAACCACCAATATCGGACTACTATAGCATATGTATAGCTGTCAAGTTCTTGTATGCTTAAGCTTATTTATTTGACTGCGCTACAAACTCCGAAGAAATTGTTCAGATCAGACCACTATAGCATATAGCATACAAATTGACCGATCCAAATATTCAAGTCAAGTTTTGGTATGGAAAGGCTTTTTAATTGCCAATATATTTTCTAGAAATTCGGCACAGATTATTGTCCAAAGCTGCGCTACAAGCTGCCATACAAACTGCTTAATCAAACTCAATCTTTTTATACACTGTTTTTCGGTGCAGCCGAAGTTAGCGTTTGTTTTTGTTCGACAATCATTTTAACAAATAAAAATCGAAATGACATAAAACTTAATATTTGACATAATGTAAAAATTCTTTTTTAATGCGCTCTACTGCAAAAAAAAATTCTAAATAACAAATATTATAAAATCTTGTCTAACCTACAAGTTATGTAACACACTCTAGACCATAACAAAATACAAAAAAAAATATATCGGCATTCCTTAATAAAAAATTGTATGCAATTTGTTGTTATAATCAGAATATTATAATTATAAATGTTAACGTTTGCACATTCCGCATAAATTCCTTGCCAAATAAATGAAATCGTTCAATCGTTACATAAAAAAGTAAATGTATGTATGTACGTTTGTGCACGCATACAAATGAAAAAGTACAAATGAAGTAGTAAGTAAAATGAATTGATAATTTTTATTCACAAAATTTCTTTTATACATTATTTTTGTTTTGTTTATTAAAGAAATAAACAACTAAAAGAAATACTAAAATTAAAATAAGAATTAGATATACATACATTTATGTTTAAATATATATATATGAAGGAGGAAATACTTACATATAAATTTATACATAATACAAATTTACATACAGAGTTGCATGCTAACAAAAAAAGTGTTTTATTTATTGTACATTTAAATAACGCTTTTCGGTTTATATATTATATATATTGTATGTTTGTTTTATTAAATTTTTTTATGCAGCCTGGTAGTTAGCGAGTTGACTTGTACGAAGCTAGTGTGGAGTATGCATGTGTATGTGTGTGTGTTTGGTATGCATGAGCATGATTGGTATAGAAATAAAATAATATTTTTTTTATTAATTTTTTGTAATGAAATTTTGTATTATTAATAATTTTAGCATACAGTTACTAATTGTAAATTATAGTGTGTGTGTGTGTGTGTAAATGACAAAAAGTGATAATTGACTACTTTGTTTTATGTATAAGCTTAGTAATTATTTATTTATTATTGTATTCATATATTACTATTTAATTTTATGCTTTTATTTCTTTACACCATTTTTATTTTTTGCATTGCTATATTATTTTAATAATTATTATTAATATATTGTAAATATTACATTAAAACAAGTGTTGCTACAGGTAAATGTTATAAAATTATAAAGCTATATAATTTTTTTCACTTCAGTTTGTAAAAAAATATGAGTTAAAACAAGGTATAAGGCTGTGTGTGTGTCAACAAATAAATTTTTTCAAAAGAATATATTTTTTTATTTTTTTTAAAAAAAAAAATTTTTTTTCAAAAGAATTAATTTTTATATAATTTTCAAAAAACTTACTTTTTTTGAAAAGAAAAAAATTAAAAATTTTTTTTGGTTGGATATTAAAAATTTTTTTTTAAATATTATTTTTTTTTTCAAAAAATGTTATTAAAAATTAAAAATTTTTACCCCAGGTTTATTGCAACAAAAACTTAAATTACCAGTTATTTTTGTATCTTGTCCTACTGTGCCGCTTCAATGCCTGGCAAACAGTAGTGGCAAGTAGCATGCTTTGCGGCGCTTAGCAGTGTTTGTGCTTTGTATGCTTAGCATTTAATTATATGCATATTTTTCGGCGCAGACACACACATATTTCGCGCCTTTTAAACTCAATTTTAAGTTTTGAATTTATGGTATATAGTTTAATTCAAAATATTATATTTTGTAAATTTATGCATTTTATTTATATTCTAATACAAATAAATTGGAAAAAAAATTATTAGAATAAAGAAGAAAAAAATACAACAGCGAGAAACAAAAACTACGCTGCGCTATTGGAATTTGTATTCTTATTTTTATAAAAGCTGACTTGTTAATGAAAAGAATTGACTTGCAAAGTTTTTATAGTAAAGCAAACTCTTAAATGAGAAATGACGAGGCATCATATAAAAAATGCAGAAATTCAAAAGAATTTTTATAAATAAGTAAGTGCTTATTACGCCATTTCTCGCATATATTGATGTTGTTTGCTAAAAAAATATTTAATATTTTATTTCAAATAAAACTTTTTAACAAAAATAAAAAAATTTATATTTTTAGTAACATTTGCTTCTTTTTTACTTATTTATTTTTGAAATTATCGGCATTATTGCTTTATATTTATTTGACAAAAATCTATTTAGTATTTGTATTTTGATTAATTCATTTATTTCAGTTGAAGAAAATATATATTTTTTGGCATAATTTTTTTTTTTTTAGTTTAGCAAAACTGTTTTGATATTTTTTTAGTTATTTGAAAACGGCTAAATATAAATTTTGTTTAGAAAATTGATTAAATGAAATTTTATGTAAGTATTTGTTTTTTATAAGCTAAACTGTTAACTATTAATCTTTAAAAAAAAATTAAATTAAATTTTTAATAACTTAGTTGCAAAAAGTAAGTTTTAATTTGAATTTGGTAAAAATAATTTAATTAATTTTTTGATTTTATTGTTTTATATTTTTTTGTAAATAACACTAATAAATATTAATGTGTTTTTAAAATTTTTTATTTTCATTTTAGTAAATTTTCTTACAACTTGTAGTTTTCAGTGTAGTAAATTCATTAAATTTTTATTTTTGAATTTTAGTAATACATATTTTTTTTCTAATTGGCAACCTTTAATAAAATTATAATTTTGAATTCAATAAAATTTTTAAATTTTGGTATACTTTTTAATTTATTGAAATTAATTTAATTTATATTTTTGAATTTTAGTATAATACTTTTATACAAAACTGGCAACTATAATCAAATTATGATTTCAATGTAGTAAAATTTTAAATTTAATAAAAATATTTCTGATCACTTTAATTTAAAAAAAATTTGTTTAATTCAGTAAAACTAATTTCATTTATATATTTTTGTTAATTAATTTGTTTTTTAATGTTTGCTTTTACAAAAACTGATAAATATCAAGCCGTTTACAAAAAAAACAGTAATTGCAATAATTTAATTTAGAATTTAGTAAAATTTATTTTATATATTTTTATTATTGTATATAAATTAAAAGCTATCAACCAACATTTAGGTTTTTACAAAATTGATAAACATTAAACCATTTGCACAAAAAGGGTAATTTCATTTATATAATTTAGAATATAAATTTAGTAAAATTTAGTTAATTATATTTTTGTATTATTTAATGCTGGCAATACCAATTATATTTATAGCCAAAACTTTTTATTTTTTTAGAAGAAATTTTCATGACTTTTGTAGTTAATAATATTAATAATGTTATGCATTTATTTGCTAAAAATATTTAAATATTTCTTTTTAGTACTTTTTACTATAATTTTTTTGAAACTTTTTTGTTTATTGGTATTTACATTTATTGATATTTATATTTTTTATTGATATTTATATTTTTTATTGATCTTTATATTTATTGATATTACTAAATTTACTATTTAATTCATTTATTTTAATATTTTGAATTTTAACATTATTGCTTTAAAAACTGTGCAATTCACTATATAACACTACATTTTCAACTTGATTGCTATAATTTCAAGGCAAATGGCTACAATATTGCGTGCAAAAATTAATAAATTACTGAGCGCTTTTATTGCCGTATTCCATAATTACTGAAACAATTCATATATGTATATAACACTAAGTTTTCACAAATTCAATGAAAAAAACTAGTTATTATTAAAAAAAAAAAAAAAAATTAATTAGACAAAACCATATAAAATGTTTTTTCATTATACATATATAGTTTGAACTTTAAATAAGTTAATTATTAATTACTAAAAGAAGAAAATGAAACTTCAACCGCATTCCATACACAGCATTCGCATACGCATTCCACATAAGTAACTTAAAGTGTTGCATTTAAAATATGAAAAGAAAGTACTTAATGTATTAAAAACAAAAAGTTAAGAAAAAAAAGTAGTTGACTTTCGCACGTGCGACCACACGCTGCTAAAGTACGCGCTAAACTACTACGACGTAAGCATTCACAATATAATATTTTTGTTGCTACTTTTTTTTACAATATACTCGCACGCATTTACGCGAATTTTACAATAAATTGTCATGGTCATTACTATGACCCGAACTAAACGATTGTCTGACTGTCTGCTTGCGGTCTGTCTGTTTGGTCTGCCTAGGCTTGGTTTGCATGCGCTTACTAACTAGCCTGTGTGTGACTGCTTTTCATATCCAGCCAGCTGGCTTACATTTGCATACAACTACAAAAACTAACATAAATATTTAGCTTTTGTTCTTGTTCACTTTTAAGTGGCACACAGCTTTTGTGTCTTCTTCTTCTTCATCATCAGCTTCTTCTCTCGTCACCATATATTTACATACCGTTCGCTTTGGCCGTATAGACTTTTGGAATATTTAGAAATGGTGGCGGTTTTGGAAATTCGGTAACATTGTGGAAGACGAAACGGGATTCCAAATCGGTGATCAAACGGCTGACTGAATTGGCGTGCGCTAGATTGCCAGCGTTGTTGCCGAATATGGGCATATTGTTGTTGTTGGCTGTTGGCGGTGTTACAGGTGCGTTGGCGCGTATGGAAGAGTGTCGTTGTGGCGGCACTGGTGCCACGCTATTGCCAGTCTGTGGGCGGAAGATTAAAAATACTTTATTACGATTGATTTATTATAAACTAAATAAAAAATATAAGCTTAAGGTTAAAGTAACGCAGTTACACAAAACAACAAAAATCGGTTTGACTGTTTTATTTTTGTTGTGTTTGCTGCATGCGGTAACCTTGAGAGCAGTTACTACGCCATGACAAATACAGAAACAAATAGTAGAAATTATAGAGCAAGCAGAAAGCAGTAAAAAAAACTATAAATATCCACTTTAAGCACTTAAAAGTCGGCAGCACAGTTACTGAAATTGCATAATTACAGCACGTTTGTAGTTCAGCAGCATTCGCGTAACAGCAAAAACGTTATTTGTTGCAAGAATATTATGCCTTGTCTGCTGCAACGCAAATTCGCCAAATTTCGTTGCTAATTATTGATTGTTTTACGCCGAAAAATACGTTGATTTTTAGTAAACAATCAATGTCACATTAAAAATCTGCCATAACTTCAGAAAATGAGTGTAATTGTATTTTTTCCTGCTGCTGCGCCTAAAATTATACTATTGCTTTATGCGTTGTCTGACTGTGTGAATGCAAAAATTTCACGCTGCTACTGATTTTGTTTTGCTATTTTACTTTTGTGTAGACATACTATGCCCACACATACGAATACTCACACGCACACAAAACACACACATATATACACGCGTGATTATCCAGCGTAAAGCCACCTGACGAGGTTCACATTCGTCAGAGACAAATGAAATTGAGAGATACATATACAATAATTACAAAGCGGGAGAGTGAGAGAGCACACAGCAAGAGAATGTAAACAGGACATTTATCGAGTTATGTATGTATATATGTATGTATGTTTGTAAAAGAAAATGGTTCTCAAATTTTTGAATACTCGTATTTAGGTACTTTGTATGGAAATATGTATTTCAAGACATTTCACGAGTCATTCACAAGGAAAAATAATGTGTTTCTTTAACAAAACCACGTAAGGGTTGTGCGGTGATGTCAAATAAGCGTAACACAACAAAGAGAATATTGGCCTATATTCTTAATAAAAGCGCTATTTATGTATATATGTACGTGCAAAACATTCAGCGAGTGATAGGCGAACTAGTTTCGTATACATATATGATAGTGATGTTACTTTCAAATTCAAACTTTAGACAACATTAAGTTAAAATTTCGAGATTTTTATCAACTTTCGCAAATTTTATTAAGTTGATACGACAAAAACTAGAAAATTAACTTCGGTTAAACCGAAGCTCTAATATCATTTACAAATAAAACAGTTTTTCATACAAAGACTTGATTTTAATTGGGCAGTTTGTATGGCAGCTATATGTTCTAGTGCGCCAATTTGAACAATTTGTTCGGAGATTGTAGCGTTTTTTTGAATAATAATTCGTGCCAAATATCGTGCAGATATCATGTCAAATAAAAAAGTTTTTCATACAAGTACTTAATTTTGATTGTTCAGTTCGTATGACAGCTATGTGATATATTGGTCCGATATCGACAGTTCCGACAAATGAGCAGCTTCTTGGCAAGAAAAGGACGTGTGCAAAATTTCAGATCGATATCTTAAATATCGATATCATTTATATACATATATACTTCATATGGTCTCCGACGTTTCCTGCTGACTGTTACGAACCTAATATATTTTGTTCTGGCTGTATAAAAGGAGAAGTTTGAGTTACTCTTAGATTATCGGGGAATTATCGCACTCTAATTAAGGTAATTTTTTATAAAATATATAACATTAATATTATATACACAATGCTATAATCACAGACTATATTTGAGGCGAAATAACACAATCTCGAAATTGCGGCACTTGAAAAACGGTAATTTGTGAGGTTCGGCATTATTGTAGTTATCATTTTGAGATTTATAATACGAATACCGATATTAGGTGTAAACAGTCACGACTGCTCAGAAGTGCATGAAGAGTAGCACAGCACTGTTAACGTACCACTACAAATAAAAGAATATATAACATAAAATTTGTTGAGAGAGCACAAGCGCACGAGAGAGGAAAATTTCGCTTCGCGAAAAGCACTCAACTCAATGCCAAACTAATTTCCATGTGAGCTTCAAACTGTTGCAGTCTAACGGTATTTACATGCACTTTATCATTTCTATTTTGCTAGCTGTTTATCAAATTCGTTTGCGAATCTGGTGATGACACGTGCTCATTCATAAACACGCCCCACCAACCACAAGCGATAATCAAAGGACACAGCGATGCATTTTTAAATTGATGCCAATACAATTGAATATTCTCACTCGGTAAATGACTTACACTACTTGTTTGACGTAGCGGCGGCGGTGGCGCTTGTACCGTTCGATGCGGTGGCAGTGGTGGCGCATTCAGTGGACCACCATTCAATATTATTGGTTTTATGGGTTTTTCTCGACTTGACGTTTGCCTGCTACCGGGACTACCGGGACTGCCTTGAACGCTGCCACTGCTGGACGACTTCATATTGGCCGCAGCGCTTGAAGTTGGCGGCAGTGGTGGTGGTGGTGTTGCATTTGTTGTGCTGCGAAATTGATCACGTAACGCCGACACACTGCTGGTGGAAGAAGAATTGGAAGGTGGTTGCGTTGTGGTGGGCGATGAGTAATTATTGCTTGCGGAAGAGATGAGTGTTGTGTTCACAGCGCTATAAGGTATAGCCGCATTGCCATTGGCAGCGGCACTTTGGCCTCCCCCCACAATACTATTTAGATTGGAATTGGAGACGCTGCGCGCCGGTGTTGGCGGTGGCGGTGGTTTGACTGATGGCGGTTTCGGTGGTGCCACTGTTGGGCGACCTGTTTAAAAAGGATTTATTTATTATAGATTTTTTTTAAATTTTTATTTAATTTTTATGCTTGCATTTTCTGCTTACCAATTGGTGGATTTGGTGCTGGACGCATGCCGCTGCTGTTAATTGCTTCTTGCGACTGATACAGTTGCGCGAGTGGTGCGCGCATTGTGCCGAAGTGTTGCTGTGTGGGGAATATGGGCGCACCTGATGCTGCAATTGGCGGTGATCTGTGGAACAGAGTACAAAAACAAATGGTGTTGAGTAAGTTATAGAAAACAGTGGCGATTTAAAGTACATTCATTTAATGTCATTGAACATGTGGAACATTAAATACTTATGAGCAGCTGACAGCTGACAGCTGTCGGTTGTTGGAAAAATTGCATGTGAGGGTAGAGATTATATGCGTTTTTTCTAAAGCTAATTTATAAAGACCGAAAAAAACACATTTGACTGCTGTTTTAAAATTAAACAACTACGTTTAATTGTTAATATTTACGAACCCATGAATAAAGTTCACTTTCAATGCAATTTTATGTCAAAAAAAAAGTAGAATATTGCAATAAAACTTTTCCTTTTTATACAACCTATTTAAATATTATTTTTGTAAAAATTAAAATCTAACCTAACAAGTTTCTGTATAAAAAAAAGTAACAACATGAAGCTAATTTTTGTTTTATATTAATTTTGGATAAATTTAAATGAAATGAGCCGTTAACTGTAACTTTTTTTATAAAGTTATTATTTTAATGTTAATCTTTAAAATTAAGCTACAAAAACATCAAACAAAATTTAAAAATTCATTTACAGACAAAGTGTGAAATTTTTTTTAATGCTGATGGCATAGCATATATGAGCAGTTCAGCAGGCTTATAAATTTAGTTTTATATAATTTTATGGTATTCTTCTACGTTTTCTGATAAACATAAAAACTCCTCAAAATTAATTTGGAATTTATTAGTCGCGGTGATTTTAACTATTTTTTTTTTACTTTTTATGTAGTTTTTATGCTTTTAAAAAATAAGTAACTGGTTACAGTGTAGTTTTAAACATAATACTAGAAAAAAAACAGAAAATTTACTAATTATAATTGGAATTTACTAAAAAAAATAATGTCAAAACGAAAGTGGCTGTTAAAAATTAAATCATCCGCATTTTATGTGCGCATAAATAGTTTTTATAAAACTTATAATTCTATCTAAAGCCTATTAATACTTTTGCCATAAAGAAACGAAAATTTAATACATACTTTATTTAAATTAAATAAATTTAAATTTCGTGTCAGAGACTGGCAAAAAAGTGTTAATAAAAATTAAAAACTGAAATTACTGAAAATGTTTGCTTGGTGTGCTTTATATAAAGAAAAAAAATAAAATAAATAAATAAAAAAATAAAATTAAAATAAATAAAATATATTTAAAAAAATATATAAAAAAATAAAAATAAATAAAAATATTAAAAAAATAAATAAAAAATAAGATAAAAAAGATAAAAGAATTAAACTCGAAAGTAATTTCTGCAAAAAAAAAATATTTCAAATTCTATTTATATTTATATTTTTGCTAAAAGAATGTAAAATTCAATTTATAATTTATATAATGTCAGAATGTCATATAATTCATTTAATTAACGCAAAAAATCTTAAAATAATTTAAAAACTGAAACTACTATATTTTCAAAAAAAAACAACAAAAAAACAATAAGAAAGAAATTAATTTACATGCTTCTACAGGCAGTATATAGATATTTAAAATTTTTAAAACTTGAATTTATACTTCAGAACTAGTTTCAAAAAGGGCTTCTTTAAACAATAAAATATTTATACAAAAAAATTAAACATTTTTATAAAAACTTGTTTTCTTTAAACAATAAAATAATGATACAAAAAAATTGTACATATTTATATAAGGTTGATTCAACAAAGGTCGACACCTATTGAAATTGAAAAAGTAAAGGCGCAATTTACTAAATTTCGCTCAATATAAAAAATTTTGGACAGATCTGATTTATTTTAAACTATAAAATATTTATTAAAAAAAATTAGTAGTTTAAAAGATCAACATTGAGTTGACTCAACAATAGTCGACACCTATTAAGCTTAAAGCAGTATAGTTTTAGGCGCACTTTACTAAATTTAAAAATATATAAATATTTAAAAATATATAATTGTCAAACAGGCCTATTTTTTTTAGTCATAAAATAATGATACAAAAATATGAATAATTTAAGAGGTTAACCTTTAATTGATTCAGCAAAGCTCTAATCACCTATTGAGTTTAAAGAAGTATAGTTTTAGGCGCAATTAAAAAAGTTTCTTTTATGTTATTTATAAATTATAATTTACATATAGGTTTTCTAAATTTATCTATAGTCACCAAAAAAAACTGCTTAATATGAGTAATGATAAAAATTCACCTAAACATACTATAAAAATTTAATAACCACAATAACGCCTAGTTTATGTGTTCTAATGTAAATGTTGTTCATCTCAAAATTACATAAAATACCCACTATACTGAATGCAACAACAATTTTTAAATAAAATAAAATATATGGTACAGTATTTACACATATTTTTCGAATAACCGAAAATATTTTGTACTAAATTGGTAATTTTTTTTTAAACTCAACACATACTACCGCTTGAACCATAAGTGAAGTTATATGAATATCAATGGAAATAATTACATATAATGATTTTACGATGCTGCCCTGTTAGTTGAAAGCCCACACTTTTTTTTTTTTGACTACACACTATTTAAGTGCCAACTGCGTGCCCCAAAACAATAAACCTAAATTTTTAGGAAATTATTTGAAGCATTGCACGCAGTTACTTTTATGAGATATACAGTATTTTTGTTATTCTTGTTGCTTCTTGTATACCTTGGTGACTTCATGCTATGATGGCGCGACACGGTCGTACGTTGACTGCTCGCCAACGCCAATTGCTGTAATCCTGGCGGTTTGGGCGCAAAATTCGGTTTGCCATGATTCGGCACCGGTTTCATACTTGGCGTCGGCGACTTATTAGTCGGCGTCGTCGTCGTTGACGTTACGGTGGCGGTGGCGAGCGAATTGTTACTACCCGTTGCAGTGGGGCCAGCAGCGCTGCTTATGCCATTCGTGCCGAATAATGATGACTTGTTCGGTAGGATATTGCCACGGCTGGGTGCTGGTGAGGTTTGCTGCTGGTGCTGTTGTTGGAATTGTGTTGCTTTGGACAGTGTATTGTTCAGACTGCTTTTGTAGTTTAAATTGTTTGTTGTTTTGTTTGTTGTTGTTGTGGTAGTTGTGTTGTTGATTGAATTATAATTGTACGAGGTCGTTGTAGTTGTTGTTGTTGTTGAAGAAGAGTTTGCATTAAACATACTACTTTTATTATTTACAACATTTGAATTTGTTTTGCCTAATGTTAAACTGTTGAAAAAGAAAATATGTATATATATATATATGTATAAAAGCAAAAGCAAATAAATTTGGGTATGAGAAAGGAAAAATATAAACATAAAGATAATGTAAACATAAAGAAACAACAACAAATGATGGTTAGTAAAAAATAATGTGAAAGAAAATAGAAGTAAGTAAGCGGAAATATGTACAGTTATATGTATGTACAAAACAAAAGTCAAACTAATGGGTCAAATCCTTGCATGGAAGACTTTTTTATTTAGTAAGACATCTTCCGGAAATTTGGCATGAGTAATTTTTCTAGAGAATGCTATAATCCTATAGTTTAGTTTGGACCGCTATAGCATATAGCTGCCATACAAGCTAACCGATAGAATGTTCCTGTACTGAAAACTTTTTTATTTGACAAAGCTTTGTGAAGCCTCTAATGACACCAGTTTTTCTACGATTATTTGTACGCTTATTAAATTCTGATCAGCGATTTTTATTTATTTTATTCTACATTATCTCACAAATTGAAATTTATGGGTGTTGTAGCTTTCGTTTCCATGAAAGCTAACGAAATGGCTGCATAAATACATATGCACAGGGTACTTAATTAGGCGATTTTTGTTTCTCTGTGCTACTTGAAAAGTTCATTGAAAATAAAGCTTATTTAGATTAGATTCACTTTAGATAGATGTATAACAACTTTATATTTCCAATAATTAATTGATGTTTAAAAAAAAAATTAATACATATGGATTTTTCATACTAACGGTTTCCAAAAAAAAAATTATAGCACATTTTATAGCTATAATCAGATTCGAGAAAACGAGTCAAAAACAAAACAAAAAAAAAATTATTCACTAGCAACAAAAATGCATATTATTTTCTTACTTCATTTATGTATGTATGTACATGTGTACATTAGGATGTTCGTTATCCTCTAAGTAGATTTTTTTTGCTTACGCCCTCTGAAGTTTTAGTTTTTGCCCTAAAAAAGCATTGTCAAACGTAAACAAACACAAACTTTTCCATTTAAAGCTTGAATAAATTACATTACTTTTCACAATGTATTTACAATTTTTTGATCTTTTGCATTAAATGTTTTATCTTCAAAGCAAATAAACCTACAACTTTGATAAGAAGATATTATAATACAAAATCATCCGCTTTACAAAAAAGGTCTTGCTGGTTTTTGCCATAAAAATATTCCTGTAAAAGTTATACGGAGTTAAAGTTATACATCAAGTGAACTGTATGCATACAGTACAGCATGGCGTATGAGCAACACAGTACAAGTATTTACAAATTACTTGTAAAAATGCTCAAGTCATTTGATATTTAACTTTAACTGCGTATAACTGTTAAAGGAATGTTTTTATGGAAAAAGCCACCAATACCTTTTTTGTAGAGTGGAAAATTTTATATGAGATTGAAATTTTTTCAAAATTTTAGGTTTACGACATTATGCAAAATTTCAAAAAATGCCATGTTATATACAAAGGGAAAGTAAAATGGTTTAGTCATTGTATAAATTATAGGGCAAAAACTGAAACTTCAGGGGGATCTGCAAAAAAATTAAAATGAGAAATAACGGACACCCTAATGTATGTACATAGTCTTGAGTCATTGTATGTAAGAAATGAAAATTTCTCGTCAAATTATTCATGAAAACACCAGCAATGATGTGAAGGTGGTTAAAAACAACATATAGTAAAACAAAAAAAAAATAGTTAATAAGAAAAAAAAAATATATGTATACATATATACAAATAAAAGCAAATAAATTGAGAATGTGAAGACAAGAGTTATAACAAAAAAAAAAGAAAAAATATACGAAAAATGGAAATGGAAAACCAAAGATGCCGATGGTAATAAAAATGAGATTTACGCTATGTAGAGCTTTATGAGTCTACGATGAGTCTACAAACAAAAAAGCGTTAATAAACTGCAAAACAGCGCGTGACATAAATATTGACAAGCAGGTGACTGCAATGTGCGGACGATAAGTTAGTACCAAGTAATCAGTATGAAGGTAGGCGTGCCACCCATTTCAGGTGTTATGCATAAAAGTATGTATGTATGTATGTATGTATGTAAAATGTGATTTGCTGTGGCTTGTAGTAGATGCGTGTTTGATGCGACTGCTAAGCCAAGTTAAGCGAAGATACTCTTATACTAGATATGTACGTATGTATGTATGCGTATTTTACAAAAAAAAAATGGAGCGAAGCAGGTGAAAAGCGAAGGCAGCAAAAGCAACGTTAAGAGACGTAGTTGCATACATATGTATGTATATAACAGCTATGTATGTATGTATGTACGTGGCTTTACATTATAAAAATACCATATATTGCATGTGAAGCTTAAGTTACATATCTACAATTTACATATTTACTTGGCTAAGCAATAAAAATATTGATATATTGGCGATATATATATATATATATATATATACACTTAAATGTATAGTTATACATAAGTGTTTTATATAAAACAATCAAAAAAGCATTTGGATTTTTTTTTATCAAATTCATCAGTACTTTACTTACTTCAAGCTAGCCGCTTTACTTTTGATACTATTGCTGCTGCCACCACCAGAGATTTTGTTGCTGCCATTGCTGCTTTCCGAAAGCGTAGGCGATGATGCTTTGCTATTGTTGTGATTTGCCGCCAACGGACTAGCGCGTATACCAGCTGACGACGCATTGATACCTCTCGTTTTCTCCAACACCGAGTCGGAGGCGCTCTGCTTATGTGTGAATTGTGAACGTATGGCGAAAGAGAGAAAACAAAACAAATAAATATTATGAATACAATAAGTAAAGCAAAAAAGGAAAATGGTTAATAATAATTTTTCAATGAATTTCAGCGTAGATATGTATGTCATATAGTCTAAATGATAAATTGCTTCGATTTGATGTGTTGAATTATAATATTTTTAGCTTCATATACGGAATCTCTAACAATTTATTGTTCTATAAAAATATTGCTACAAAAATTATAATTCGATTTCTATACAAATATTTTGAAAGCGCTTTTTTTACTTTTTCAAATAGGCTAAATCAATACATCAAGATTTGTAGCGTTAAATTCAAATATTTTTAGCTGCAAATGTTGAATATCTTATAATTTTTTGTTGTATAAAAATAATTCGATTTTTATATCGATAATCAAAAATTTAGTCCGGCTTTTTTATACTTTTTTTGCATGTATTATAATATTTTACGTATATGACGCTTAGACTACGAAACTTAACTTTAAAACTTTATCCTTTAAGCGATCTTTTATTTTTATTTTTTAATTTTATTATATTTAGCTAAAATGGCGGAGTTAAATTTTGTGTGGGCTAATAGGAATAAGTTTGTAAAAAAATATGTTTAATTTACTCTAAACCAATTAGCCGCTTCCGCCCCCGTATATTCTGATTGGTATTTAAGTGAGGCCCATAAAAGTGTCAATCAGCCCTATTTCATATTTATAATAATGTAGACATCTAATGCGATGTGCGAAACATCACATAATTAAAATTTGATTCTATATAAAATATGTTTTTTATGTTTATAGTCAAATTATAAAAAAAATTGTTTGTGGTTGTAGTCAAAATTTAAATATTTTTGAGGTTATACTATTGTAAAAAAATGTTTAAGGTTATAGCCAATTTATTAAAAAAAGTAATTAAAAACTTAAAAAAAAAAATAAAATAAAACATTAAAAAAAAAATAAATAAATAAAACATTAAAAAAATAAAAATTTATCTTCACCTAATTTTGTATATTTATTTTTTAATTAATCTGTTATAAGGATTTAACAGCCATCAAATAATTTTTACGTATGTAAAAAGTTTTCACCTAAGCTTCTCATTTTTTATTTGTGTAAAAATATCTATGTATATTATAAATGTAATTTCGCATTTTACGTTTAAAATATTAGCAAGTATGATTTTTTCCTAACCGTAAAGAGCGTAAGAACCTTTATTATACTTAATTACCACAAGATTTCAGCATTTTCGTAAACTGTCATAAACCAGTAACGGTTAAATTAAAAAAAAAATACGATTTCCTTATTAACGAACGCTGTTAATTGTAGACGCCACAGTCGTACGCACTTTAGATGCAAATTACACGCCAAATATAGTGCATATTTATAATGATTTCATAACACTTCCAATGTCAAATATATTTATTTATTCAGAAGCGGTGTGGAAAACTACGTGAAAACGCTACGAGCTTCTACATGTCATATAAATCTGCTAATAAATTCTCCAACACAGACAACGAAATAAAATTTTGTGAATCTTATACTACAATTTTGTGTGATCATGTGTCTGTACGAGCGCTTGTAGCTACTTTTATGTGTGTATGTGTATATGCAAATGCGCAAATGAGTGCAGTGATGAGCAAAAGTCTTTGCGCACGTTAAAATAAGTAATGTGAAATTATATATAGTTTAGTGTTGAGCTGTTTTCATAATTGTAATTTATAGCCTAATTAATAAAGCCGCATAAATCCAGTGATGAGCGACCGCAAAACTATGTTGTGGCGTGTTCTTCTAAGAAAAGCGTTAACCGAAGCTATAATACTCACACACAACATAAAAGGGTCTAAAAAATCTTTATTTTGATTTTGATCGGTCAGTTTGTATGGCAGCTATGCTATAGTGGTCCGAACTGAAAAATTTGCTCAGAGATTGTAACGCTGCTTTGGTTAATAATCTATGTCAAATTTCATGAGGATATATTATAAAATAAAAAAGTTTTCCATACAAGGACTTGATTTTGAACGTTCAATTTGTATGGCAGCTATATGTCATCGTGGTCCGATATCGGCAGTTCCGACAAATGAGCAGCTTCTTGAAGAGAAAAGAGCATGTGCAAGATTTTAGATCGATAGCTCAAAAATTGAGGGACTAGTTCATGTATATACAGACCGACAAACGGACATGGCTTAATCGACTCTGGTCGTCACGCTAATCATTTATATATATATTTTTTTTTTCTTTAGGGTCTCTGACGTTTCCTGCGTGGAGAACTTAATATATTATACAAAATAATACTTTGACAACACTCACAGAATATTGCACTCATTTTTTGCAACACTGTGCGTTCATGTGTTTGTGTTAGCATTTAAATAAAGCATAAAGTGTCGAAATAAGCAAAAAATACTGAAATTTTATTTTCAAAAATCTTTTGCAAACGAACGCTACAAAGCTAAACTAACGGTGATGCAAAAAATTCTCGCCACTTAATGGTTTAACTTCTCGAGCTGTGCCATTCACAGCTTTTGCTTATTAAGTTTTTTTTTGTGTTGCGTTTTTTTTTCTTCTAGTGTTACTTATTCTCATGCCATAATTTATTATTCATTGTCTTTACCGTTGATAGATTTTTCGGTGGCGTCGATGGCGGCTGCGGCGGTGGTCCACGATTTGTGCGTAAATTCGCCTCTGTTGCATTGACGGGCTGCTGCAGTTGCTGTTGCTTTTGCCGCTTCAGTGTCAAATGCTTTGTTAGTTCAGCATTGAAATCTAATGGACCATTACTGCTGCCGTTATTACCGCTGTTGGCATTCGCCGGTGGCGATGTGTCGTTGCGTCTACTCGCTGCGGACGAGTCGTTATTGGTAGCCGTTGGGATTGCCGGTGCTTGCGCTGAAAATGTCATATAGGAAATTGTAAAAGTAGAAAATAAAATACATCACACAAACACACATATACAATACATATGTATGTACATATATGAATATAAATCGGAAAATACAATTGGTTGTTTAAGGCAGAAAGCGGTGTTGTTGTTACTCACCACGACTACTGCCATTGACTGGCTTCAGTTTGGGCATTGAGGTTAGCCCTTCGAATAGGCCACCCAATTTTGGTGCGCCATTGCCCACATTATTGTTATTGCTATTACTGATATTGTTGTTATTATTATTGTTGTGTATTCGTTTCGGTGAGCTCGTTGCGGATGACGTTGATTCGAAAATCTGTGCGTAACGGAAAAAATAAAGAAAACCAACAATAGTTAGTTACATTCGCATAATAAAAAGTCATTAATTTACAAAAGCGCAGTATTATCGCAAAAGACACACCTTTCCTGCTAGGGCTGGTCCGCTTTTATCAACTGTTGTGGTCTTTTTCAGTTTAGTGCCTTTTTGTATGGATTGTAGGAGCGCTGAACGCATATCTCCGCCACCGGCACCACCCAATTTTAGACCTCCCATTGCCGGAGGCGGTGGTGGCCCTGGTGGCGGCGGTGGACCCGGTGGTGGTGGTATAGCCATCTACAAAACGAAAGAAAACAAATTTTGTTATATAAGTGAAATTCTAAATAAAATATGGATTTCTTAAAATTGAAAAATCGAAGTAAATATAAGGCCTCGTTTACACTAACTTTACTAATGCCATCAAGCTTGCATAAAATTTTGGGTTTCTATTGGAATCACGGCTACGGAATCGTTGAAAATGTTGCAGAAGTGTTTTGGGGAGTCTACTTTATCACAAACACAAGTATTTGAATGGCACAAAGCTTTCAGAGAAGGTCGTGAAGTTATCGAAAACTTGTCTCATGCGAGTCATGTTTCGACTCAATACATTTCGGTTAATGTTTGGGGTATGAAGCGTGTCCAATGGTAGACTGGTTTCAAAAGACCTGAACCTTTTGCGACATCGAGTAGAGGTTGCAAATTAAATGCTTGACTACATAGCTGAGAACCCTGCATTAATCAAACGCAGCATTACTGGTGACGAGACGTGGTTTTGTGAATATGACGTCGAAACTGTCTACGTGAAACAATTCGTCGTAAACGACCGCATTTGTAGGCAGAAAATTCATGGATTTTTTATCACGATAATACGCCGTTACACAAAACAAAAATCATCGTTCAGACACCTTATAGGGTCTAATAACAAGAACGACGTGATGTTAAAATGAAATAAAACACTCAAATTTGGTCAAAGTGACTTTTTTCTGTTTTCGAAACTGAAAAATCCGATTCGGGGAACGCGCCATAAGTTCATTGAAGTCATTAAAAGTTATGCGCTGAAGGCATTGAAGACCATATCCCAACAGAGAATTAGGTATAACAAGTGTATAGAAAATTTAATGAAGCTGGCTTGTATTGGCTCAAAAGGAGGCTATTTTGAAGGCGATAATAAAGATTTGTATTAAAATATGTAAACAATTTTCGTTATTTGTCAGTCGGGGTTATTTTTGATCAGATGGTACATACATATATAGAACCAAATCGGATTAACTAATGCATTCATGGGTCAAGAATGGCATATTAATTGTCCAATGCCCAAAAGCATATTTTTGTCCACAAGAAATAAAGCTTCATATATTTGGTTCAAGACATATTTCTCACCTATACACTATGCATATAAAATTATGCTTATACGACTTTCTTCGAAGAACTTTAGAATAGTAAACGAAAATATACAGAATTGGCAAGTAATATAAGCATTAACACCATTTCATACATGTTTATACATTTTGGTAACATTATAGCTATAAAATTTTACTAATTCAGGCTTTAACCTTATCGTATTTGCTGGTAAATTATAAGAGGTCCGAAAATAAAAGTGGTAACTAGTTTCTAAGGTTCTAAAAGGAACGCAATGTAATAGAAGCTTCCGGCATAAAAATATTTGGTGTTAATGAAAAAGGTGGCAAGAACATTTAGCGGACAAGTAACTTTGATTTCCGGTGTTGTAGTTGTGTATATAAATATTTTGTGGTATCAGCACTTGCCTTCTCCTTGAAGTAATTTTTTGGCAAAAGTTAAATATGCAAGGAAGTAGATTTTTTTTTTAAAATCTTACACTTATGTACAAAAGAAATGCTTGAAAAACTGAAAAAGGCATATGAACCTGAAAAATGTATGTATGTAAGTATGTATGTATGTGTCAATGCGGGCAATAAGCCGCAACACGCGCTTTGCATACCAAATCAATCTAGAGAATCGACGAACGAACTTGTTATTAATTTGTTGGTGCGGCACAATCATATAAGACATTAAATATGAGCGGGCATTCGTAGGTCGTATGGATCGTATAAAAACAAAGCACAATAAAATGACAATGACAAGACGTGAAAAAGCATAAACAAAAAAAAAAACTTTAAATGCCCACATGCACAGAAAAACATATATGAAACTTAATGTATATTTATAAGGTATTACATGAGTCATCTAATGAAATGAAATATTCAAATAAATAGCGAAAAATAATTGTGTAAATTTACAAGCCGCTTTAAAAACTGTTATTGAAAATAGCAAAAATAAAAAGCAACAAAATGCAAGCTGCAAAAGTGCATTATGACTAAGCTAACAGATGAGCTGTGGCAACTGTGATCGATTTTCAAAGTCGATTAATTAATGATATTTACCTTGTTGGACGTTTGTTGACAGTGGCAATTTTGTTTCGTTTTAATTGTGTTTATATTTGAGAATAAGTTTTATTTGCGCATTAAAAATGACTAATATTGCAAATGTAATCTCTATATTGATTTAAGTTTCTACAAAACACGCTGTAGTCGCTACGCGTTTGTGTAACACACTAGATTTGTTTATATACGAGCGAAAAATATATAAACAAATAGAGTTATCTCGCGCACACTTAATCACAGCTGAGTCAGCAGCAAAAGTACATGCTGCTGGACCGACTTTATATAAGAAAAAGTAATTAAAAAAAAAACAAGCGGAATGTGCGAAATGCTTTAGTTTATTTTAATTTTATGTTTTTTTTTTTGCAAACTTTTTCACTGTTAGTGAAAGAAAAAACACAACACACGCAAAGCACTGGCACTGATCTACAGCTAATTGCCAAATGATTTTTTGGCAGGTCTGTTTTGTTTATTTTTATTTTTTTTTTTTTTTTGGCTATAATATATTTTCACTTGTTTGGCGCGTCTCAATCACAAACACTGCCAGCACCATTACTCAATTTCATTTGTTTGCCACAAATTTTACTAGCCACACAATTAGCTAGTAAATGAAAAGTTTTAGCACACCACACGCACGCGCATTAACACAACAACGCTCTCGCGTTCAACGTACAAATGGCAAAACACCGTGCCGCAAATGTTTCGAACAGCGGCACAACAAATTGACGATTACTTGGCTAATCGCACATTCACGCAGCCACAAGCCAAAACGAACTGAAGGCAACATCAACGCCAGCGCCAGCGGTGTCAATGTGATGACGAAGAAGCTAAAAAGCCGAGCGCGGGCTAGCTAGTAAGCCAAATTACATACGCGTAGCATACTAGTAAGCGTGCACTGTGGTGATGACGCTGCGGGAGCAAGAAAAGACTGCGTTGCGCTTGAATATCTTGGGGAATTATACGAAAACGTATACTTAACGATGTCTCAGCGTTAAATGATCGCGAGCAAAATAATGACTAAGTGACTTACAACATTATGCTCTACACGATTCGCTGTAAATTGTGCTGATATGTGGAGTTCCTGCAGGCGGCGCGTGCCCACATTGATACGCTGCGTTTAACTCTGGCTGAGTGTGAGACTTGTAAGAATATGACGTCAGCGACACTATTGCTAATTGTGCAGAGGGATTGCGAGCTGCACACATACACACATACATATAAATTTCAACTTTGATAAGCTGTGTTTATGTAGCGACAGATTTAAATCAGTTACAGTTGTGCGGCATAGAAAAAAAAACAGAAAAAGCTAATAAAAGCCAGACAGAAAAAAAACTGCGCGAGGAAAGACTAATTGATGAATCAACTCGCGAATTCGTAACAGTTTAAGTCACTAAAGTAAACTTAAATGGACATGAAGAAAACTATCATAAATTACATACTTTTTCTCGACAGCCGTATGGTCGGTTCTCAACAGACCAATCTACATAACCGGATGGACCCAGATTTTGATGACGCCAAGGATAGTTAACTCTACAGCATTCCTTCTAATTACTTCGGATGTTTTCTGCCGCTACAACAAGAACATTAACAGCCGTATGGTATGCATACGGAGAATGGATGTGGATTTAGCTTTGGCCAAGAGCTGTCACCTTAGTACCGTTACCTTAAACTTTTAGTGGACTGTTTGACAAAATTTTTCAAGTAGATGTGGCGGCCTTTAAGGTAGCAGTAGATCTACTGCTTCGGGCGCATCGGCCTTCAGAGAAATGACTATCCAATCCGATACAGGCCTTGAGTTCATTGATCGTTCTAGCGAGATCGATTAAGAAATGCCTAGCTTCACAATCAACGGCATCGAATAAGACAGTCCACAACTTGTAAAGCTAATGAGCTAGCAAAGCAACGTACTTCAATTTCGCTAACATGGGAATGGGTCAGAGCTCCGCTGTCTTCTTTAGTTCTAGTACCAAGTAGCTGAGTCTCACTAATGCGTACCGAAACGCTAGAAACTACTAGTATTTACGCAGTCCTAATATGCTTATAACACAAAGTAAGTCGCCAGTGATCTAATGAGCTCTTCGCTGTCAGTAAGGTTAATCTTTCTCTAGTTGAAGGGGTTCTTACTAGTCATTGCCCTATCGATGTCCACCCGATAAGGTTAATAATCGAGGTAGAAACCTCTTAACACTTCCATCTTGACAACTCAAATGACACCTCTTCAGTAAGCTAGCTCAACTAGGGCGAATAGACATAAAACGCCTAAGCAGTTTTGTGTTGGGTTTAAAGCGTTTTGTTGATATTTGAAACTAACGCTGGTCTACTAAAGCAGCCGTAAGCTCAAATTTCTACAGCAACAATGCATAAAACTATGACATATTGGAAGCCCGTAGTTTTGATATATTATTTAATGTACAAAAATAATGGTGCCAATCATTTGTCTGTCAGCCTTAGCTGATTCAGAAGAGGTTATGCGAGCTCCATAAGTTGCCCAACTTTTTCATATGAATTCTAATCTTTCCCCTTTCTTTCCGATGACTCAAAATGCAATAAAAATAATGAATTAAATCGATTCGACATTTATGAGAAATCTTTCTCATGGGGTGCTCAATTTTTGTTGACTCATTTAAGCACGCCTTATTTTCCAAAAAAGTGTGATTCAAGCCATCAGTGAATGGATTTATATGCGGTATATGCAATAACCCAAAGAAATCATAAATTACTATTGTAATAAAAATACAGCTACAGCTGCAGATAACTGTAATTCTTACGAATTGTGCAACGGCTTAATCTTTTGTAAAAAACAATAATTGGTTTTCCCAAAATGGCCACCAAATATTTCCTTGATATTTTTATGTGGATTTTCCAACGGGATTTATCAATTCTAGAACATACAAATTTTTTTTAATCAAATACCCCATATTTTATATTTAAGAATTTCGGTCTGATTTATTTTTATTATAGTGGGTTCACAGAGTCTCCACTTTCGCCAATCATTATTGTAATGGAAGATCGGCATTGGAAACAACACGATGCTTAACATTTTAGACAAACGACGTGTTCCGAATGTTTAGATTTTCGGGTACGAAAAGAATTTTTAATTTTTTGTTCACTTGTAAAACAAAACAAGCAAGGGAGGGCTAAGTTCGGGTGTAACCGAATATTTTATACTCTCGCAATGGAAAGTGATATATGAGATTTTCGTATATATTTTAATCAAAAGTAAGAAGTATTGCATTAATTAAAAAAATTATTTATTTCAACGATATTATAATAAAAAAATCAGTTTAATGTTATATAAAATTTCAACGCATAAATTATGTTTACATTGTAAAGTGTTGTGCAAACGTTTACATAAAAAATACATGCATATATACATAACTGCTTTGGCAATAAAAATAGTTGACACGGGACGTGTACGAAAAAGCTTTCTCTAGCTGATTTTTTTTAACCAACAACAAAGTAATGAGTAAGCCACTCATATGAAGAGCGATTCAAACACGCGCGTTGTGTGCCATACGCGTTGCTGGACTAACAATTATTACATAGGCAAAGCCAATATAGACATATAAAATAGTCGAAAAAGTTGTTAAAACTGCAATTTTTTTCTTCACTTACTACAATTAGCTGGTCTAATTCAAATGCCAACGTGTAATAAAAAACATTCAAATAAAATGCAAATTAAATGCATTAGCTAAGTGTCATACATGTTAAATGTAACTTTATATGTTGTTGTTATATGTATGAGTTACGCAACAATTGTTGTGTGGCAGGAATACTTAGCCAAAATGGCAATGACAATGTATCTATTACACGCATCAGCTTCATTTCACGCCCGATTTGTTAACACAAGCGCTCGCAATAAATTTAGTGTGTGAGTGATAGTGGCAAATGTAAATGCGTAACGTAAAATTTATATATTATCGGTCAAGAGGTAGGTCAGGCCGGCAGGCAAGCAGGCGTGCCATGCACTTGGACGCGCATTGAACTGCCTTTTGCATAAATACACATTTATATGTACATATGTACACACAATATATAGCCACAAGCTTATTTGAGGTTAGTTTAGTCAATGCATTAGTTGCTTAAGTCATACCATTAGTTTTGAACTTTGCTGACAGCTCTGTGTAATGTACGTGTAAATGGACAGGTTAATATTAGCAAATACAATACCATACATATTTACAAATATGTGTGTATACATACAAACATACATACAAAAGGACAACATGCGCACGTGGGAATACAATAAGCACGAAAGGATGACGCGTGTAACTTGTTTTCGTGTGGTTGTTTACATTTTGCACTGATGACCAACAATTAGCCATCGTTGTAATTTAAGAATATTGACAATACTGTCAACAAAACACACCCAAAATTAAATTTATTTGGTCATTTAAGTACTACATTTTCTATTTGCAAAAAATAAATAAATTACAATGTCAAAAGGCAAGTTGGTTCGTTTAATAGGCGGAATGGTTTGTTATTGTAACTTTTTCTGCTTGTAACGGGAACAGGAAATTGAGTGTGTAGGTTGGTTAAATGAGTGAAATTGTAACATTTGATAGCCATTAAAGGAACTGGGCGAAATTGATGACAGCTAATAAATAAATCTACTGTTAATTTTTTTATTTTATGTAAGTTGTAATTAGAGCATTGCCAGTGTGGTGTGAGCGGATTGTTAAAAAGCACCAAAATGTATTAAGTCAGGAAAGTATTCAGGTGTTGCCGTATTTCTCTCTCCAGTTGAAAGTGATGTCTATTTACATATATAAAACAAAATATGTATATAAAAAATATATATATACATATTTATATAGGGTATATATATACATATATATATCTATACATATGTATATGTATACGAAAAAAGAAATATATACATATTTCTATAAAAAAAGTAACAAAATAAAGAGCTACAACTATATCAAGCAATAAACAAACTACGCAGAAGATAAACTAACAGAAATTTGGAAAAATATTAATTCCACAATGATACATTTGTTTTATAAAATAATCTGTAATTCCAATTTAACCTAATCGCCTACTATCACTTAGGGTGAATCACTCAACAAGTGTTGCGGTGCTTTTTTTGAATACAATCTTAATTTTCTATTAAACAAACTTATCTTATCAAACGAAAATGTGAGAAGTTGATTTGAATATGAAAAAGGTGATATATGTACAGACATCATTTGCTAAAAAGTTGTTAGATTTGTAGTGAGGCGAGAAAATTTCATATAAAGGTTATTTTATAAAAATAAAAAACTTTCAACTACGGAAATGTTTATAACAAAGACATATAGGCAACAAACATACAATGCAAGTCGCCAACGATCGAATTGTATGCATTTCCTTAAATGAAAAAATGCATTTATTGCAATAATTTATAGGCTTATGAGTCAAAACGATTACGCAGCTTAAATGACATTGGGATTTTCTAAATAAACTGCATATTAAATCAGTTAAACAACAGCAACAAAAATTAACGTTCACTACATGATTTAAGAAATTTTTAAAACAATTTAGCATTTACAAAAAGTGGACGTTATAAGCAATCTTGTACGGCTTACGATGAGTAATCGGAATTTTATGTATGTATATATGGTATATATGAGTATGTACAAAATTTAAGTTCTAAATTATGCGGCATGTGATGAAGTCACACGGGTTTTACATACATACATACATAATTGTTGTTAAAGAAAGAAAAAAACACGGTAGCTTCGGTCACACCGAATATAATAACATATTCTTCAAATTGTCGAATAAAAAAATTTTCGGTACAAAAACATGATTTTGATCGATTAATTTGTATGAAAGCTATATGTCTTAGTGGAACGATCTGTATATGTTCGGAGATTGTAGCGCTGCGTTGAACAATAAAATATACAATAATCTATACCGAATTTCGTGAAGATATCTTGTCAAATAAAAAAGTTCTCCATACAAAAACTTGATTTTGATCGGTTAGTTTGTTTGAAAGCTATATGCTATAGTGATCCGTTCTAAACAATTTGTACGGAGCTTGTAGCGCTGTCTTGAATAATAATCTATTTCAAATTTCGTAAAGATATCTTGTCAAATGAAAAAGTTTTCTTTATAGAACTTGATTTTGATCTTGTATAAAAAAGTTTATATTAATAATTTTAAAAACCTGTTATAACGACGCTAACTCTAATTTCATTACGTTTTAAAATGTTGATCAGGTTAATGTGTTGAAAAGGTAATGTAAAAATAAGCACACTCACATGTATATATATTTATAGATAGACAGAGTAGCCGATTATCAATGCACTTTTCTGCACACTTGCCGCATTTAATTAATTATAAAACCAGCTACAGACGCTTACTTAACCCTATAAATGTATGTGTGTGTAGGTATATGAATGAAGGTAGGCATATATGACATTCACGCCACACCGCGATAATAGAAATATAACAATATAATAAGTTGTGTGAGAGGATGGGCGGGGGCGCGAACGTTCGTTTGATCA